TAAATAGATACTTCACTAAACTATAATGGTCTGCTGTTAATTTACTCCCCCTCAATCCATCTAGGGCATAAGTTGCATCCCAAATGACACTATTTTCTTAGGCCCAATCCCAATTCTATTTTTGTACCCCTACCCCTTGGCCCTTAAAACAGAGTGTAAAGGGGAAGGGTTTCAAAATTTACCCCATAAGTAAAGGGACTGCACTACAGCACCTGCACACGTCATCATATGTCATTGCGATGTCTTGCTTCATATGAGATCGACGACGAGACTACTATGGTTATTCAAGTTTGTTTTTTGGTATTTTTCTTCAAGAAATCAGTGAAGCCAACAATATCATGTTATCATAACGATATAATATGGTAAAAAGATTGTAACTGGACAGTACATTTACACCCTGGCCATATTCTTCCATGTAAACACACCAAAAACAACATTAACATTATAGCAGACACCGTAAAAAGCCTGTACGGGATACATTTGAGGTGCTGATTAAAAATAAAGTTATTAAAGAAGTGAATGAATTTAAGTATCTTGGCATAACTCTAGACATTAATTTAAAATTTGATAGTCATGTTAAAAATATAAGTAAGAAAGTTAACCCAAGTCTAAATTGTTTTCGTTTTATTAGAAGGTTTTTTACATATCAAACTGCTAAATTATACATGCAAACAATGATATTCTCACTTGACTTGTATTGCATTACATCATGGTCACAAGCCTCTTTAACTAAATTGAAGGCTATTGACTCAATATATAAACAAGCAGTTAAAATTATGAACTTAAAGCCTATGCGATGGCATCATTGTGAAGTTTTATGTAAACATAACCTTTCTAGTTTTGATAGTTTTATTAAATGTAATTATCTTAACTTATTTTTTAAATGTTTAAATAATCATGTTCCAGTCCTGTTTTCCTAGAGGCATCAAACCTCTCAGGGCCTACTCACACTATGCCATCCGTACCGTGCCCAGGCCCGTTTCCCGGATTGTGTGAGTGCGCTGAATTGGGCTCAAGCACGGTTCACTTGGCCGGCCCTGGCCCGGTTGGAAGAGGTGTGCCTGAGCGTGGTTCACTTGGGCTTTTGGCGCGGTACGCTTGTGTGTGAGCGCAAAACGCGCCAAAGCCCGAAACTGAAAGCGATACGTGACTTTGAAGGGGTTGTTTCATATGGATTTATTAATCATTCTTACTGTTCAATGATCGCAAACTGCCGTAGTTTATTAAAGACGCAAACCCCTCACTGCATGTCAGCTGCGCGCCTTCAGCAGACCTTCTCATTCCTGCAGCACAAGCTTTATGATTGTTTATGCGCCAAAAGTGGCGGATCTGTCTGGTAAAATATTTGACTGCGTGTCACCGCATCCCTAAAGACTGTTTGGCGAAATATTTGACTGCATGTCACTGCATAACAAACGACTGAAAGGATATAACTAGAGAAATCTCCACTGTGCTACTGGGTGAGAGCGTATGGCAAGCCGTTTTAGCATTTAAACCTTGTTCTGACTATCCATAAATAAATTTAGAGATATCTCTAATTATATTTTGACTAGTCATAATTATAATTTGACTAGTCAGATTGGAAATATCTGCAAATATATTTGCTGACTAGTCATATTCCTCCATTGACTTCCATTGAAAAATATTTGCAGATATCTCTAAATAAGTTTTGACTAGTCACAATTTTAATTAGATATATCTTTAAATGAATTTTGACTTGTCAAAAATCCAATTCAAGATATCTACAACTGTAATTCGACTATTAGTAAATTAATTAGAGATATCTTATTAATATATTTGTAAATATCTCTAAATATGACGAATATGATAAAGATATCTCCAAATGTATTATGACTAGTAAAAACTCAGTTAGAGATATCTCTAATTACAATTGTGACTAATCAAAACTCATTTAGAGATATCTGCAAATATTTTTCAATGGAAGTCAATGGAGGAATATGACTAGTCATAATATATTTGCAGATATCTCCAATATGATTTCGTACTAGTACAATTGTAATTGCAGATATGTCTAATTGTCATTCTGAGCAGTGGAATTATAATTATGACTAGTCAAAATATAATTAGAGATATCTCTAAATATATTTATGGAGTCAGAACAAAGATTTAAATGCTAAAAGGCTTGCCATAGAGAGCGCTTCTCACTGAACAGAGCAGCAGCGATGACATAAGCGTGCCGAGGCCCGATATGGTCTGAGCGCGGGCCGTCGGGGGAGACGGGAGGGGGGACAAGCGTGCTTTGGCCCGGTTCGAGGCAACTGTACCTAGTGTGAGTACGGCCACACGGGCAACAGCTAATGGTGACTGTCCAGTGCCAAAGTGTAAGACCTCTTTTAGTCGATCTGTTTTAGCTTTAAAGGGAGACAAACTGTGGAATGATTTACCTGTTAGCCGAAAATCAGAAAGTAATATAAACATTTTTAATAGCGTTCTTTAAAAAATGATTAAAAGCAAATCAGCATTGTTTGCACAAATAGTCTACTGTTAGTTTGTTGGATCATGTCGCCTTTGCTTTTGCCTTCAGTCATTTTATGTAAAGAATTAAAATGTTGTGTATATGTATGTATTATTTTTCTATTTTGTCAAGCCTCCTGTGGACAGGTGTTGAGAATTAGCAAGTTTGCTAAAACGCTTAAATGCATTTGGATGTCCAGTGTAGTTGTGATGTCCATGTGAAAAACAAACAAACAAAGAAACAAAGAAACAAACAAACAAGTAAATAAATACATAAATAAATAAATAAATAAATAAATAAATAAATAAATAAACAAACAAACAAACAAACAAACAAACAAACAAACAAATTATAGCAGACACCGTAAAAAGCCCATTCCCAGCCATTGACCTTTTCTGACTTGTTTCGAGTGTCATAGAGTGACATAACGTTGTGGGACTGCTATACAGGAGTTAATATTAGGGTATAAAGACAGTAAAACATGAATGTGGTTATGAATGTATTAAATATATGTTTGTTTGTTGTAAAAATAACAACAAAAAAATACTACTGACAAAAAAAATACTACTTTGTGTATCTCATTATGTCCGTGTGCAGCCCTGCTACCATTGTGGCTGGTGTATTCTGGGAAATGTTCTTAGTACTTGGTTTCGAGAGTGGTCCTGAGAAATCTGTTTCAAGGGCCTACTAGCCCTTCTCCTTACCGTACATTCACACCAAAAGCGGCGAGAGCGTCAAAGTAGCCGGAAGTCATTCACTTTTAATGAGAGCTGGCAGCGATAAGTGGCGAGGAGCAACGCGGCACGTCTTCCCCGGTGTGGGCATCGAGGAGAGTTGAAATCAAGTTTACTTTATGGTAATGAGCAGTGACACGGTTCGTCTGCAAGCAATCAGAATGTAGAAGTCCACCGCTTGAGAAGAGTTCAGAGAACACAGACCTGTGAACTTTGGTTCTGACCACAGTTGGTCCCAAGGGTTTGATTATTGCGGTCGCTGGATTTTCAATTATTTACAATATTTTCTTACAGAAACATGCATTAAATAAGTTACTGGCAAGTTACTGATGTGCATTAATGTTATATATATTTACCTTTAAAAAAGCGTGAATCTCATGCGACAATACAAAACAGCATTGCTGCTTCAGGATATTTCAGACATATGGACACATTGCATAATTAAGTGGAGCAAAGCCACACCACATGCAACTTGATCTTCCATTGTTAAATGAATTTGATAAAAAGTGTGCAACATTTTCACGCTAGAAAGCATGTTTTATGCAGGAATTTAACTGATTTGCTGCAGCGGCCCCTTTAAATACGAGATCAATGTAGCAAATTTTGACGCTCTCGCCGCCAGAACTGAAGGCAGACAGCGTTGTCACCAGGACGGCCAGAGCGACCTTGGACACTCTCACCGCTTTCGGTGTGAACACACAGTTAGCCCTATACCTTCAAGCTAAAGAGAATTGGGCTAAAGGGTAGAATTGGGATTAGGTCTTTGACTTGCATGCTGTGGATCACCAAGCACCACAATTTTAGATGAAATTCTTGTTGAAATCTCCCATACACCCTAAAAAGTAGCTAGATTTGTTGCTATTCGCTTTTTCGAAAATTTGTTGCTAGAGGGGTCTGAAAAGTTGTTAAATATTTGGCAACACTGACTACCCTAGCAAGGATGGTTTTATTCAATCAAAATTAATATTAATATATTTTAAAATAACTTTTGTCTATTTTAACTCAATTTAAAAATGTTATCTTCTCCTCATGACGAAGGAACATTTAAGTAACTGAATCCATTAGAAAGCAACCTAATATATCAATTTATTACTCAAGAGACATTAATTATTATCAATAAGCAGAAAATGATCAGAAAATTAAATCCTAATCTATTTTGAACAGTAGTGCATCTACAAATGGACATTATCAAGATTAATAAATGCTAAAAAAGCATTTGGAACTATATTATAGCTAATACTATCACAAAGTTAATAATTGTAAACACTTTCAGATACTAAAACATCAACCAAACCTTTCTGTGCTCATCTTGCCTCTTTTATCAGTTTCCTCGAGACAGATAAACAGATTTCAGTATATATTTCACAACAAAGCTTTGCTTAAATCCGTTCTCAGATTGCACAGGAAACGAGAGGAGAGAATTACGGCACAAAACCTGACAGTTCAAACTCTTATTTATAAGCACAGAACATCTGGCAAGCAAAACAAAATCAGCGGATCCAAGTTTCAGCAGCTTCCTCACACTCTACAGGAGCCATTTATTTGCATTTGTGTCTCTAGTAGAGCGTGGAGAGAGGAGATGAAAGGATGAAGTATGAAGGAGCAAACGAAACCAGTAAACAAATGAGCAAACTTATAAGGCTGAATGAAGCACAGAGCAATAAAAACCTACTAAAACACCAAAAAGCAGCAAGCAATGAAGGATGATGCATTTAAATGAGAATGAAAAAAAGAGGCACATCCCCAAAGCGTGCAGTGCTTATAAACAGGCAGTTGTTGAGGTTTCTTACCTGCGCATGCAGTCGAGGGCCTGTGTGAAGACCTGCGGGGCCATGCCATGCTCGTGCTGCAGGATCAGACACTGCTCCAGGGTTACTGACATGGCAGTGCGGTCCTTGGCACTTTTGCAGCTGGTGAATCGCACTCCGTTCAGTCGTCGGCAAATCTGAGCATGTAGAGGCACAAATATTGATTTAAAACCAATTTTGTTCATGCTCCTATATGCCAATTCAGTTGTTACTGTGATGAATAATAATAATAATAATAATAATAAAAACAATAATAATATTTTTAAACCTGTATGTTGTTATTATGTGTGAACTAAGTAACCCAGTAATTCACTGTCTGCTGTGATTGTTTTTTCAGCTTACAGAATATGCTGCAAATTAAATGGGTGTACCATTTATACTGTAAAACATATCTGTTAATTAAGTTTCTGTATTTTGTGTTTCACAAGTGTTTTCTATTCATTTCAGGTTGTGAATTGCATTACGGAACCCTGATTCGTGCTCTGTTGAGTTTTGATCTTGAAAATTTAACTCTACAGTTGAACAAAGTGACTTTTATCGACATTTTAGTAGTTTAAAAGAATATAAGCTATGATAAATGATATATAGAGAAGTCTGTAAAATTACTGAAAATATATTGGCTGTTTATTCTTACAAGGTTTTTTATCGTAATGTACAACACCGACCTAGACAATATCACTTTAAGCAAATAAAATTGTTAACGGAAGTCCCTTTTTCAAATTTCAAGCTTGAAAGTTCGTAGGATGAAAGATCAAGGTCTCATAATGCAATTTAAATAAACAGGGAAAAATAAAAAAGGAATCACAACATACGGAAAACTGCTAATTTATGGATTTTTTTTTTTTACAGTGTATTTATTCCCTCGGTGATTGTACATATTAGGACAAGAAAACATGGCACTGATTTTACACAGTGGTGAAAAGCGTAGTAAATAATCATACTCAAGAAAAATTACCAGTACTTGCAGGGCTTGACATGAACTTTTTTGATCACCAGCTAGTAGATTTCCAACATTACTAGCCATTCGCCATTTTTACTAGTCACAATTTTGTTGTTGGGAATTTTATTCACAAGTTTGACTTTGACATGCTAAAATTACTTGATTTAGATTTTTTGTCATGTCCACATGCCTCCTCATTCATTTCGCTTTTTGTGTGTGTTGTGTATGAGCTTGCTTAATGTGTTTGAGTTAATGGGTTGTGTCACATTTTTATTTCACATGACTTTTCAGGGTTCAAAATTAAGGATTTACCAAATTTATCTCTGACCACACCAAATATAAAGAAATTATTATTTCTTAGCCAAAAATGTTAAATATTGTGTCAAAAAAGCAAAATAGAGCTGTATACGTGCACTTTTTATTCAACAAATCTTTTCTTTAAAAAAAAACTCACATTTAAAAAATAACTCTTGTCATGTATCTAAAATATGCACAGTAATCTGTCCTGGATAAAGGTCCCAGATCACCAGTTAACTACACATAAATGGGGAGCAATATTATATATATAAAAAAAAAAAATAATTAAACCATATTAACAAAAATAACTATAAACAAAAAAAGCAGGTAAAAAACATACAGTGTGTGATAATGAAAGCAGCAGGACTGTGGGTGCAAGATCCTCGCTATTTGTCCAGTCATTTTCAAAGAGAACGCACCAGTTGCCTTTCCTCTAAGCATGGTTGCTTTGCGCAAGTAAACGGGAGCGAGCACGCTTTTTAACAGTCACGTGCATCACATCACCTGTGTGCCGAGTGATCATCCTCCCATTCGATATTCACCTGCTTAGCTTTTCTTGTGCAAACACAATTCGTTTTCTCAGTCATGCTGCTTCTCTATTCTAAGATCTCATTTGCACGAATATTGGGCCATCCTTATTGTCGAAGCCTGTTTTTAAAAAAACTCTAATTTAAAAATGATTTTCAACCAGCCAAAGTGGCTAGTGGGAGTGTCTGCCTAACCCACCACAGATGAAATCAACGGGTGGGTGAAATTGGCTGGTGTTAATGTCAAGCCTTGATTACTTGCTAAAATTAAAAAGAAATGAAAAAAACGACTGAAATAAATGTGACGGATTTCTAAATCCCCTAAAATTCCTAAAATTTGGCTTTCGCTTCCAATTTTCATCATTAAAAGTATGCGTTTTCGCATTACTTGTAAATTTCTCTTTAAACCTTTTACTTTTATCTTTCTTTTTACCTAAACAGTTTTTTTACATGAACTACAGGTGGTTTAAAAAAAAAAAAAAAAAAAATTCTTTTAATTCTTTTAATCAAAGAGAACTGCTTAAACCCACTCTTTAATTATCCCCATTAAGCATTTAATCGTTTCACCCTTTATTATCTCAAAATAAGCAAAGAACAGTTACCTCAGCAGCCTGCCACAAGATGTCAACATTTTTATTTTTCCTAGCGTGAACATTTTGACCCAGAAACCGCAACAGCTCTGGGAGACAAGTCTGACTACGAGAGTGAGGAAGACCTGAAAGAGACAGAAAATTAAAACCTGACTTGTGTAACTCAAATAATGCAAAACTTTCCTGACTTACAGTCGTCCGGTAAAACCTCCTTGAACTGCTGGTAGTAAGAATTTAGTCTTGCCAGACTTTCCACATTGATGAGCTCCTGAAGTGATGTGTCTCCAAACCTACAAGACATTTCCAGATATAGTCAATCTGTGTAAACTGGAGATCCATGTTAGAGGAAAAATATGCGATATTGTTGTTAAGTAATAATGATATGTCTTGTAATATAACATTTTGCTAGAGAAATGCTATTGCAGTGTTCAGATGCAAAAACCTCTAAATGTCATTTAAAATCTTCTTCTTAAGTGAACATTTGTCTCGGGCTCTTGTGTGTAGGTTCAGTAATTTCACTTATAAGGCGATGAATAGGTTCTTTTCTTTGCCTTTAAAGTGAAATTACTGAACATAAACATAAGAGGTTAAGAAAAATGCTCATTTGAAATGAAATGCATTCTAACTGCATTTAGATGATTTGGCATCTGAACTCTTCTCTTATTATTAGCAGTATTGTTAATTACTAATGTAATCATCATACCAAAATAATCAGTAATGTTTTTAAATCTAATTATATATATATATATAGATATATATATATATATAAAAAATGTTGTGAATGGGTAAGCATTTAGAATTTAAAGGGCAGCTATTTTACCAGTCCCCATCTGACTGGTCAAATCAAACCTATACGCATACTGTATTTACTATTATCGCAATACTGACCGTTTTTCAATTTTATTGTGCGGCCCTAATGTAAACCAAAAATGAAGAACACAATCGTAAACCAAACAGAAAACGAGATCAGATAATACAAACAATTATGAAATAATGTTATTTGCTGATGTTATGCAAGCACTCCTGAGGGCTGTTTTACATAATCAAGACTCACTTCTCGGCGAGCGTTTGCTGCTCGTTGATGCCCACGTTAAACAGCACCGGCTGTACCCGCAGCAGCATGCCGTTCTGGATCTCCCTTGGCAATGCATCAAACATGCTTCCTGGGAGAGGGATGCGAACGTTGAACCCATCCCGATTCCCGGTGATCACCGGCAGCATGTCGGGGGACGAGGTAGAGATGGCCTGAGTCACCTTGAAGGTCACGTTTCGAAGGTCCATTATTCCTATGCTCATGTCCTCTAACATGGCTAACTCCTCTCCTGTGATGCATACAGAAAACATACCAGAACTCAATGAATGAACCGTAAAACGACAGAACATTAAAAATAATGAATTAGAATTACAGTTTTGCTTTCCTGTGAATATTTCCTAAATGATGTTTAACAGAGCAAGGGATTTGTCCCAGTATTTCCTATAATATTTCTTCTTCTTGAGAAAGTCTTATTTATTTTATTTTGGCTAAAATAAAAGCAGTTTTAAATTTTTTTAATGAAATTTTAAGTCAATATTATTAGAGTCCTTAAGCAATACTGTCTATAGAACAAACTATTGTTATACAATGATTTGCCTAATTATCCTAACTTGCCAAATGAACCTAATTCACCCTTGAAATGTCACTTTAGGCCAGGGGTCTCAAACTCAAATAAGCGGGGGCTATTTTAGTGACTGACAATTCATAGGAGGGCCGTTTTAACATTCAAGTACAACAAAAAAAGCAGAAACCTGACATCCTTGATGCATCTTAGGACAACAGACATGACATTTATATTTTAAGCATTACCAATGATAATGCAAATCAGCACGTTTATCGTGTCACACATCAGCTGCTGAAATATATCTGTGGTTGTTGTGTGTATGGTAAAGCATTACACACACTCAGTCATTCTTCCATGGAGTAAATGCAGTCAAAACTCCAGCTTATTGTTTCTTGTTGTACATATTGAAGAGGGAGTTTAATTTGCTATGAAAAAAAACAAAAAAATAATAGACATAATACTTATTATTCTGTCCCAACTAATTGTATTGTCCCAATAGCGTAAGAACAGCAGAAAGCAGTTTGGGTAACTTAAGTGACTTTGCAGGCAATTGTTCTTCTCAATATCTCTCTTTTCTTTTCTTTTTTTTGTAAAACTACAACAAGGGGAAAAGTGTGTACATATTCACAATTATTTTAACAGGTTCAATTCAACCAGCAGTACAATTTTATTAATGTACATAGTTTTTGTGCAAATCTTAATAAGTATATGAGGAATATCTATTAAATAAGACAATGTGAATCGGATATTAGCAAAATTATCATATTTGTTACACCATTAAGCCATTAAGAAGTGTTTGTACAACAAAATACACAACCCGGGCTCACTGTGGAAATGTAGCCCCGTGGACGTTTCTGCGGACCGCGAGACACGTCCAGGGAGATACGTATTCGAGAGGTTTTTGTTTTCGCGGATCCGCGAGAGGCCGCTGTGCGGGCTTTTTCGCGTCTCAGGCGCCTCTCGGGAACTCGCGCCGTTCGCGCCCGCGCTGTTCTCGCGCGAAAAGCCTCCGGGTCGGCCACCCTCCTCTTCCTCCTCCTCCTCCTCCTTCCCGAAACCCAAGCGACGGTTTGCAAAAGCCGTCCAAAAAAAAAAAAAAAAAAGCAAAAGCCCTCGTCTTCGATTTCGACCACGTTTTCGGATCCCGCCGCGTTCTCAACCTTATTTTTCGGATTCTGTTTTTCATCTTACCTGATTTCTGGAACCGCTGTTCCCCGGACTCGATCCCGGTCGTCGTGCCCGCGGCCGGCTCCTCCTCCTCCGGGGCTTCCGCTCCGCCGACGCAACGCTGTGAGCTAAGCGGACAAACTGGTTGCATCAGGAAAGCCCTCCACTCGGAGGCGAGCTGTCGGCCGGCGAGCGCGAAGAGGAGGAGCGGAGCGGCGCCACACCACCCCGCGGCGTTCGCTCGAAAAAAACTAAACGCGGCCGTACATACCTCCGGCCACGTTAATCGTGGTCTCCAGAAACGTCCGCGGGGCTATGTTTCCAGAATGAGCTTGGGTTAAAAATACAAGTGGTATAAATCTGATTATAATCAAACAACCCTTGAATATTTACAAACTTAAAGCTTTAGTATAAACAGAGCCTTTACGGGCATATATTTTAACGTTTAAATCAGCCCCAGAATAAAAACGCATGTGTGTTACTCTGAACACTGAGAGAAAATGAAAGTAAAACTAATCTGAATGCATTACTTTAAATGTCGACTAGTTGGAGGGTCAAAACCACAAGCGGATAGATGTGACTGCAAAATAATGATCGAGGTTCTAAAATATATGTTTTGGTGGGGCGAATGTCGTTATGTTTTTGACATCAGTTGCCAGCCAGAGGGAGGAGGAGGGTGGACCGTAAATGGCAGTTTGAGACCCCTGCTTTAAGCTGAATATTGGTTTCTTGAAAAAATATCTAGTAAAGTATTAGAAATTAGTTATTAAAACCATTATGTTTAGAAATTTGTTAAAACAGAAAATAGGGAAATATATATATATATATATATATATATATATATATATATCAAGGGGGTAATATTTCTGACTTCAACTGTATGTCCTACATATATGTTTTTAATAACATAAGTGGTTTAATTTAGTAAATACTGCATATTCAGGAGCAAAGAATGAGCATATTTGTGAGAGTAGGTTTACCGTAGGTACTCAATAGACACTCAAACTGAGCGAGCAGGCCGATGGTGTAAAGCTGTCTTAGAAAACCATCATCACGGAGACAGTTTCTCAGCTTGATAATGAAGCCACAAATTAGCGCTGTGAGCTTAAAAGACACAAAAAGATAAGAAACAGAATACACGTTAGAATTAAATGAAAATTGGTTTGGATAGTTCACCCAAAACATTTATAATTACATATTCAATATGTCATTCTAATTCTGTATGAATTGTCATTGCATGGAAAAAACCTGTGCATTTAAAAACTCTACATAAGTGGACAACCTAATAGATTACATATACTATATAGATTGCATATACTAGTGGATAACAATAGAAATAACAATAATCCACCCAAGACATTGACTATTTTTGCTTTTAACACAATTTATGTTTATCATTATTGACTAACAGAACATTTTTATCTCTGGTTAAGTTGACATGCAAATGTATATTCACTTAGAAAGCTTAAAAGCATATGTCCAAAGCTGCTTTAAACACTTACTGTATGAGTTTTAACAGGAAAAATGATGACAGATAAGCAAAGGATAATGGATTGCCTCGGCAAAGTGGATTTTAAATCCTTTAATGCACGGCGGCAAGCTGTTGATTATACCTCTTATTCCATGGTCATCTGCTTGTTGTAAATAAGTTAAAACTAGTTTTGCTCTTTGAAGCGCAATATTTGACCAATTATATCAGTTATGACATTTTAGATCTCCTAGTCCCACACTGAATCAGTCATCGGCAGACAGGCAGTGTGTATGGCATATCTAACAGCTCTTAGTAACGTGCTAGCTACCTCATCGTATATATTTTAAGCATATTTGCTAGTTGATTGATCCCCATTGGCTCAGGATTACACAGATGAATGAAGGCAACTGCCACTGAGTTACTATGATTACTACTAATGTTTCAGTATAGCATGTTTATTTTGAACTGTAACGACAAATGACTGGAACTGTGCATTAAACAGTTTTCTTCCAGCCAATAAGAAACAAGATTTTCAAAAGACTATGGAATAATTGAGGTTATTTTTGGGTGAACCATCACTAAGACTATGGTGGTGTTTATTAATGTGTGTGATTAAGAACTAACTGTTTGGCAGAAAACCACGTCTCTGCGGTACTGCAGACTGAGGTCCATTGCGATGGTAGGTGCGCTGTCTTGCATGAGCAAGAAAACCATTGACTTCTTGGCTTTGTCACTCATCATGGCCACACACTCCGTTAGGGTCGTCAGGAGGGGATACAAGGCCTCGCTCCATTCACCTGATGCACACAATCATTTCAAATTAATTTCAAACTCCATATATTCATGCTTATCAAAACATATATTTAAATTCTCATGTTTCATTTTAAAGTTGTGTGTTATTAACAAAAACAATATTTATCATACTCCTGTTTTAAATGAAAGTTGAAAGAATTCTGACTTTTCATTGAAAGTCTATATTACAGAGCTTTAAAATGTTCATAAATGGTAATGTAATCAATATGAATTAACTGGTTATATGGCCTCCTTTTACAGAGTTATTATGAACTTATTGAAGCATCCCAACAAGCATTTTTGTGTTTAAAGACATCTAAAAAGGTCCAAACATGGATATCTTGGCTACAACACAGCTAAATAAGTAAAAATCCAATACACATAACAACAGCCTAAACAAATAGACTAGTCATCAAAACAAATAGATACTATAGAGAGGCTAGGCCCAATCCCAATTCTACCCCTTAGCCCTTCCCCTTCCCCCTACCCTTCGTTTTGCACGTGCCCATGAAGGGGTAGTAGTGTCCCAATTCTCTTTAGCTTGAAGGCGAAGGGCTACGGGCAAGGGGTATACACCCCTGCAAACGAAGATTTTTCAGAACCAAACTCGAAACCAAGGGCTAAGAAAATTTTCCCAGAATACACTAGCCACAGCTGCACCCGAAAGTAAGGAGATCCACACATTAGTATTTTTTGTCATTATTAAGAATTCTTTACAACAAACAAACATGTTTTAATATATTCATAACCACGATCGTGTTTTACCATTATGCTTTTTAAAAAAACGCTAAAATAAAAAACATTAAATTTTGTGATCTATAATCCCTAATAATAACTCCTGTATATCAGTCCCACAACATTCTGACACTCGATGACACTCGAATGTTGTTTTTGGTGTGTTCACATAAATGAATATGGCCACTGTGTAAACGCACAGCACAGTTACGATCTTATTGCCACATTAGATCGTTATGATGACATAATATGCCTTCGGTGATCTCCTGAAGATAAATACCAAAAAATAACACAACTGGAATCACAACAGTAGTCGCGATCGTCTGATCTCATATAAAGCAAGAGATGGCGATGACATCTGATGACGTGTGCAGATGCTATTGTGCTGTCCCAATTCTTAGGGGTAAAATTTGAAGCCCTTCCCCTTAACCCTCGATTGTAAGGGCTGTTTAGGTGCAAGTGACAAACTGCTAGCTTTGGATGTTTATATCAGTTTTATATTTTTTAAAAGTGAATTTTGTCACTGTTTTGGAGCACACTTATAGATATCCATAAAACTAACAGAATGAGACTAACATCTAAAACACTTTATTTAAATTTCACGGGACCTTTACAGTTCATCTGAAATCACAATTTGCAATGTTTATTTTGCCAGCTTATATTGTAATTTTAAGGTAAATAATTTATCTGTTCATAAGGTGAATAAGTTAATCCACTGAAACAAATGTTTTTTTTTTTTTGGTATTCTTTCATACAAATCTGGCAATTTGCTTCCTAATTCGGAGTGGCGATCTGTTGACGTCAACCTGAGGACTTCCATAGCAACTATATATCATTATTTTCAGCCATGCCCATCTTACTTGTATTTTGTATGAGGGAATGCTGCGCAAAAGAAAGCCCCTCCCCTACTTAATATTCTGTTTCAGTTGGAAGTACATCAATACTGAAATAAAAGTCTCAGCAACTTCCAGTTCATGCAGACTTTAACTTGTATATATCATTTGGTTTTCTATTAGATTTTCAAATTTAGCCAAGTTTTAACCAAGCTGCAAACTCCCGCTCTCCCTTGGGAAACCAGCTTGGAAGTAACCTAAACTGCAATTCATCGACTGGCCACTGGAAGTTGGTTCCAGAAGTGAGCAAATCCTCTTAGACTGCATGCTAAAATACCCAAATGTACAGCAGAAAAAAGGTGTTTACAGCCTGGTACAAAAATGGTTTTGGTGTATATACGGTACATCTTGAACCTGGACCTCTATTAGATGTCCTTTAGACACACAATAAATGCTTGCTGGTAAATGGCGATGAAAAATTTGGTACAATTGCATTTCAATAGAGTGCCCAAAATTTCATACAGGTTTTATTCAAAATATCTTCACCTCTGTTTCTAAGACCAATCAAAGTCTTATGTAATTGGAATGACATTAATGGCCCGTTTCCACTGAGTGGTACGGTATGTTTCAGTACGCTTTTATGGCAGTTTTGTTGTCAAAAAGTACCAAAAAGCAAACTGTATCGTACCACTTTTGTGAAGGGTACATAGCACAAACAAAAGGGTACCAAAAGGCAGAGCCAGACGTGGAGCTGAAGGCTATTGGTTTACAGAGATATGTCACTCGCTCGTGCAAAAAAACAGAATGAAAACAAATAACCGCCATGTTTTAAATATACAGACATTACATTGTAATAATATATACATAAAATAACAAGCCATGGTCAACCCGAGCTCAAACAAACCTTGTCATTGTCTTGATGAACAGCCACAAAACCAAGAAGAAAAACAGAATCTGCTCTGTGCCCAGAAGTTTTTTACAAGATTGTCTGAAGCACGATTGGCTTTTTCACTTGCACTCGCCATGTGTCTATATTTGAAATAACGAACTTGAGCTGATGATAATAATATGGGCATGATTATTGAAGTGCTTTTGACATCCCATCCTTTCAGAAACAGACAAACGTGAGGCTGACGTGTGAAAAATCAAACGAGAAGCCCAACAAAACAAAAGAGCAAATGATTCATTCAGCAACCTAAAATATGAACAAACTGCCATGTCTAACTATTATCATCTCATTTTGTGAATTCGACTGTTATGAACTGGGGATGATGGAATTACTCTCTAACAGAGGTTACATGTGCTAGTGGAGATTAAAGATACAGATGAGAGGTTTGCACGGACTGTGAGCTATATGTTGTGTGTTTCTTTTGAACCCACATAAAGACTAAATGTATGCGGTGTGTAGTTTTTCCGTAAGTGGTAACATATCGGAGACTGTAAGAGGCTGTATTTTTATGTACCTATTATTTATTTTATATAACCGTAGACGTTTCAGTAGGCTATTTCGCAATATAATTGATCTGCAGTTATAATCAAATTCTGTTTATCGAAAAGTTAGTAATGATATGTTAGTTCTCATATGATATGTCAACGACCTATACAGCTTTACTTTGACATTTTCTCGAGCGAAAATGACGTTGACTGAAAATTTCTGTTGTACACCACACCCACCAAGAGTACCATTGGTACCCTCTTAGCATTTGAAACGCAAGACTGATAAAGGTGACCTGTACCGTACAGTACCACTCAATGGAAACGGGCCATTACTTGAATTACAGAGGACCAATTTTTCATCTTTGGGTAATCAGGCAATGTACATTCTAGAGTAACTAAACACTGACAAAAGGTATGAAAAAAACCATATGACCAGTTATACCTGAATCATATATCAGTCATCGTCATAACAAGGCAACATATTATAGTCTGGGTAGATTCGATGGTAGGCAAACAACTGAAATGTTTCATTTTTAACTTTACCAAACATGTGTATGCGGTAGCCATTTTAAGTCTGCAAGACCTCAAATTCACATAAAGTGTTCCACTTGGGGCAGGGCCATATGTTTAAAAACATCTATCAATATCTTGAATAAATATATCCCAACCAGCTTCCCAAAAATATCACATCAGCAGAATGCAACTCTGTATCACTCAGGGACTTTAAAGTAAATATTGACAGATTTCAAAACAGTAGCAATGACAGTTTGACACCATTAAACAAGTATGAAAGACAACATATGAGAAGTGAACACCTCTTTAGCATTAGCGCATAAGCTTAAGGGAGGGGGAGGCGCTCTTACCTGGGTAACTCTCCTCTCCACTGCTGCTGCTGCCATCTAGGGGGATGGAGGTGCAACATGCAACAGTTAACTTAGCGAGTGCACAGCACACACAGCTAAACACACACTATGAAGCTGCGTTTCCACTGCACACAACAAATGACAAGCAGCAGAAGTCAAGAGAGTACTGCGGGAGCTGCGTAGAGTTCCTATCATGTCAGTATGCAGAAAATTCGGATCCAATTTGCGTTAAAATATTTGTTGTTTAGATGTAAGCAACTGCTCGAGTGGATGCGATGTGTTCTAGTGTTGTCCAATCAGGTCTCTGTGCTTGAGGGAATTGTTTAGTTTTTGTTCATTTTTATCAGAAAATCTAACTTCTTTAAAAAAAAATAAACTTGTTTTTAGTCATAAATGAATACAAATTAGTAATGCTCTCTCCATGTTCCCTTCAAAATTGTTGCAAGTATTATTATTATATTATATATTATATTGCATTCACTCATTAATTCATTCCACCATGGCGAACGCACGGAAAATAGCAGCTCTAGGTTCATTGTGCTGGACAAGCGTATACACACAAATCAGTGTGGATAAAACACTACTTGGCTCATATGTAGACGATGAATTCTGTGAATCATCAAAGCCATCAAATGAATGTTAATATATAATGTATATAATAAAACGAAGCTAAATGAGCTTTTTTATGTCTTTCAATTGTCTTTTTTTCGAGACCGCAAGAATGAGCTGCTATGACTACACGAATGACCATAATGAAAATACTGCATGTCTGCCACTAGGGGCGAGTTCTGACAGTAGTGTCTGAATGTCATGTGCAGTGGAAATGCAGCTTGAGACTATATACACAAGCATATTTAGCAACTAATTGTTTTGCACTTACAATGGGGGAAATAAGTATTGAACACGTCATGTTTGTTCCTGAGATTAATATTTCTAAAGGAGTTGTTGATATGGAATTTTAGGAAAAACACAAATAATACAAACATAAAAACAAAACAAAAAATTTGTTATGTGTAATAACAATGGCACAAGAAGAAACGAAACGGTTACTACATAACCCTCGTTCCTTGAGGGGGGGAACGGAAATGCTATGTGGAAAACTTCCACTTTGGGGATTTCGTCAGAAACCAATCATCTGAAAGAGTAATAAAACGGGCCAATGAAATGCCAATGAGTTGGCGGCGTCAGCATGCAAAGCTGGCAGCAATTACAATCATCTGTTGTATAAAGATGCCAGCCGTGCATCGCAAAGACATGTTTTCTAGCTGAAGAGCCAAGCTACAGCTGCCAGCTAAGGGCAACCCATGTGGCGAAAAAAACATAGCATTTCTATTCCCCTGCTCGAAAAATTAGGGTTACATAGTAACCGTTTCATTCCCCATCAGAAGGGGAACTTCAATGCTATGTGGAAAACTTCCACTATGGGCAAATGTATGGAAAATGCCACAGCGATTGAACCTTACCACACCCCTGCTGAGAGGTTTGCCAGGTTCCCAGCGTGAACGCACTATCATCACCGGAGACGCAGCCCTCCAACGTGCCCCCTGACCCTAACTTACCTTATTTACCTGTGAAGCGCTCAAAGGCTTATCTATATTTTTTGGGGAGTCATAAAAAATACACCTAGTTAAATTCTAGAATTTCTAAAACCTGACAGTGCGCTGGGAAACTGTCCGGATAGGAAGAACCAGCGGAGGCCACCTGCTGACCAATGGGGTGACCTGGTGGCATGAAAACATATGAACTAACCCTGACAAGAGGGAGTACACATAAATCACGCTATTTCTGCGTAAACAGACTCAAAACAAAAAAATTATCATGTCTTTTGACTGCTTTCTTTAATAATAAAATTACACAATATATGTGCTTTTACTTTCAGTACTTGAGTAGTCAATTTTGAAACATACTACTTGTAATACTTCAGTACAAAAAATGTTGAATACTTTAGTACTTCCACTTAAGTATGGTGCTTAAAGAGCACTTCAACTTCTATTCAAGTCACTTTTTGATAGAGCACTTGTACGTTTACTTAAGTCTGGGTAACAATTAAACATCAGAATTATTATAAGTAGAGTAGAATTATTTATAGAAACCAATAGACCTACACATAATATTATTATTGTTGGTTTACCATATGTTTGAGAAAAAAAAATAGCCGACTCATATTAATCTTTATTTTACATCTGCAGAATCGTGAGAAAACCTTCTCGTGAGAAAATCTTTATTTTAGGCAAAAAAAAAAAAAAAAAAAAGACACGATTCTAATTTTAGCAAGTATCGTGCAGCTCTAGTGGTACGTCATTATCACGCTCCACAAGAGGAAGCTCCTGATAGGTTAACGTAGCGTGAAAGTCTGCTGAAGTTCAGGTTTTCGAACTCGAGCGACTCACGTGAAACAAGCAAAACGCGCATTAATCGCACAAAACGCTCAACTCACGCCACTTCATTTGCGCAAATCGCATCAATCGCACCTCCTCATTCGCGCGTATCATGCCGCAGGATGTCTATACGCCCCCTTGCATTGACATGTAAATCACTTGCACTTGACGCTTCTTCTGCGTCTGGTGTAAAAGCAGCATTAGCGAGAAAGGTGCAGCAAGCTTGTTACAACACTAAACTGAATTTCCTCATTCACAAAAGTTCACCAGCACACGTGAGGAAATCCGCTCCACTACAAGACTATAAAATCTTATGAATGTATTAAGTGTCGCTGCAGCTCTACAGGTTCCTACATGTCACACACTGCGGAACCGGGAGAAACAGCCTGTTCAAACACCGGCAGCTTTCTCATTCTCTCTCTCCGCTCGAAGGAGGTTTGGAGGAACCCAAAGACTCTCTCAGTAGCATAAAGGCTCTGAAAGCGAAAGGTGTCTTTGCGATGCCTGGCTGGCATCTTTATACAACAGATGATCGTAATTGCTGCCAGCTGTGCACTCTGATGCTGCCAAGTCATTGGCATTTCATTGGTCTGTTTTATTACTCTTTCAGATGATTAGCTTCTGACAAAATCCCCATAGTGGACGTTTTCCACATAGCACTGAAGTTCCTGCTGGGAAACTTTTGAAATTTATTTAATACTTTACAGAAAAGACGTTTTTTTTTTGGTGATGACAGGTTAAAAACGCCTCTCATATGGAGTAAGTAACATGAATTGCTCAGGTGTGATTTTTTCAGACTTCAACAGTGTGTCAAAATCTTGATGGTTCTGTGTGATCTTCAATTTTCTATTTTCTATTGGATACATGTCAGGTGTTTGGCTGGGCCATTCCACAGCTTGATTTTATTTCTCTAAAACCATTTGAGAGTTTTCTTGGCTGTGTTTTGGATCATTGCTGAAATGTCCACCCTGGTTTCATCTTCATCATCCCGGTAATGTTGATGTTGGACTGAAGCAGCTAATATTACTGTAATTTACAATGACGAAGGCAGACAGTTGCTGAATAACTACTGAGAGATTTCAGCTGCTGTCTGGACTTTCACTGCCTTTCTACACCTCCCTTTCTTCATGTGTTCAATACTTTTTCCCTATGTCGTTTCATTTTACTACACATTGTAAACGAATTAGTTTTGTTTTCTTTGCATATATGGATTTTTTTGGTTGGTACCAAAACTCTGTGAAAATTTCAAGTCTGAGAAAAATGGTGACATGTTCAATATTTATTTCCCCCACTGTATATTAAAATCGAAATGTTGCAAAAGTCTGTCTAGAAATAGATGTAATAAAGCAATTTTAACATCTGCCTGGCGAGCTAATGATATCATAGTCTTTATATAATGTAAAGGACCACTCTAAATTGCAGCATGCTGGCGCTGCCAAGTGACTAACTGGCAGAGACAGTCAGCACCAGACAGAGAGCCTGTGAGCGTGTTAGTCAGCCAGCCAATCAAATGAGAGCACCCGGTCACATGCGCACAGTAGGCAAATATGCTGGGTCAAACAACAGAATGTTCCAGAAACATGTTCCAGAGACATGGCACATCAACAGAGAGTCACACCGAGTCAACACACACTCAATAATATAAACTGTTGCACAGAACCCACTTGGATGTCAGTTTTTTTTTCTTCCGTAGATTTATACGATTGGTTTTGGCACATATAAAACAGATAAATAAACATATACAAATTATGTTTAAAGACACAAGACAACATGCACATGATGTGACAAAAATATGTACAGTTGAAGTCAAAATTATCAGCCCTCCAGTGAATTTATTATATTTTTTTCAAATATTTCCCAAATGATATTTTACCCTTTGGGGGTCTGAGGTGATGTGACATACCCTGACATTTATGCTTATTTCAGCTACTTATTACATATGATTGGCCAACATGTATTTCTTTTTTATTCAGCACAAGCTCTGCTACATTAATATGTGAGAAATATAGATATACATGCTTGTGTTTTTAGAAAAAAAAATTATGCGTGGTTAGTAGGTTTTGGAGAACAAAATGTAGCTGAAATAAGGTCCAAAAAAACACACTGAATGGGGCTAATAAGACTTTTGAATAACCAGTCTTGTAGGCTAGAATATGTAATTAATCTGTTCTCCTTTTTTCAAAGAAATCATTACAATGATTTACATCTTGTATTTTGGGTCAGCATACTGTATGCGTTGAAGTGACAATGGTCATGAATAATTCACACCTAGAGAGGCAAAAGACACTCCCCCACTGGCTAATATTCACCCATTAAGAGCATTGTAAAGCAATGTCTAATGCATTAATGGTAAGGAATTTTTCACAGTATTCTGTATAATATTTTTTCTTCTGGAGAGAGTCTTATTTATTTTATTAGAAATAAGAATAAAAGCAGTTTTTATTTTAACTATTTTAAAGTCAATAATATTAGCCCCCTTAAGCAATATATATTTTTGATTGTCTGCAGAACAAACCATCATTATACAGTGCTAACTTGCCTAATTATCATGTACTGTCATCATGGTAAAGTTTAAAGAAATCAGTTATTATAAATGAACTATTAAAACTATTATGTTTAGAAGGGGCGACATAGTGGTGCAGTAGGTTGTGCTGTCGCCTCACAGCAAGAAGGTCACTGGCTCGAGCCTCAGCTGGGTCAGTTGGTGTTTCTGTGTGGAGTTTGCATGTTCTCCCTGCGTTCGCGTGGGTTTCCTCCGGGTGCTCCGGTTTCCCCCACAGTCCAAAGACATGCGCTTTAGGTGAATTAGGTAGGCTAAAATGTCCGTAGTGTATGAGTGTGGATGGATGTTTCCCAGAGATAGGTCACAGCTGAAAGGGCATCCGCTGCGTAAAACGTGCTGGATAAGTTGGTGATTCATTCCGCTTTGGCACCCCGGATTAATAAGGGGACTAAGCCGAAATGAAAATGAATGAATGAATTATGTTTAGAGATGTGTTGAAAAAAATCTTCTTTCTGGTAAACAGAAATTGGGGAAACAAATATACAGGGTGGGCTAAGAATTCAGAAGGGCTAATAATTCTGACTTGAACTGTAGGTTAAAAACAATACAGATGATGATGCTGTTAGAAACAGTGGGAAGACTAAATTGAACTATTTAAAGGCAAATAAAAATAATGTAAAGCTTGTTGCTATGACAGCATGCAAATCTGTCTGAAGATGAACAGGTGACCAATGTGTGAAATTCAGAGGTAAAAAGGGTGATGGCAAAAAAGAACGAAAGATGAGTATGTGCATGTGTTATAGAGACGCAATGAACTGAACAGCAAAGCAAAGAAAGGTACAAACGTCTAAAAATGTCAAATTGAATGTAATTTAATTGCTTGGTCTAAACTAGCAGTTATCCTGTGATTAATGGTTTGCATATAACGGGATAGAGGGATGGTGGACATACAGTGGGTATGGGAAATATTCAGACCTTCTTAAACTTTTCACTCTTTGATATATTACAGCCGTTTAAAAAAATTATTTAAGTATTATTTCTTCATTAATGTACACACAGCACCCCATATTGGCAGAAAAACACAGAATTATTGACATTTTTGCATTTTTGATTTATTAAAAAAAGAAAAAACTGAAATATCACATGGTCCCAAGTGTTCAACCCTTTGCTGTGACACACATATTTAACTCAAGTGCTGTCCATTTCTTGTGATCATTCTTGAGATGGTGCTACACCTTCATTTGAGTCCAGCTGTGTTTGATTAGACTTGATTAGGAGAGCCACACACCTGTCTATATTAGACTTTACAGCTCACATTGCATGTCAGTACAAATGAGAATCAAGAGATCAAAGACACTCCCTGAAGAGCTCAGAGACCAAATTGTGGCAAGGCACAGATCTGGCCAAGATCGCCAAAAAAAAAAAAAAAAAAACGCTGCACTTGAGGTTTCTAAGGCCATATTTACACTGTCAGGTCTTGATGCCCAATTTGGATTTGTTGCCTATATTAGATTTTTTTGCCTGTCCTATACATGTTCTTTTAATTGTGACCCATATCCGGTTCGTGTTTACACTTGCCATACAATTTACGACATCGTGCATGTGTAAAGGCGAGTTCTAACATCTACGCCACACTAGTCACAATGGAAGATTTTATCTTGCTTTTAGCTCTGTGAAATATGCAAAGATCGCCCAACTTTAAAACGATTTTAACGAGGAGGAGGAGGGAAAGGGCCATCATCGCAGCTTGCACCTCATATTTATATATGGTGTAGCGGCATTTTTGCTTTAAGCTGCTATCACGGTTAGGGTAAACAATGACACGGGAGTCCGCTTTGAATCCTTTTCTCATCTTTATTTTATCATATCTTGTGCCATTAAATCAGTGAAATAGCTCCATTGCCCCTCCTCAGTAGCACCCGTCACCAAAAACAAACTCACGGTCTGAAAATTGTTTTCTCTTTCCTTACTAGTCCACCTACTACCTGGCTCCCTTAAATCCCAATTTCGACAGAATAAAAGTCTTCATTCACAAAATCAAAAATTATAAAGCAAATACTTTAACATGAATTGTGTACAAAGCAAATACTCAAACCAGAATACAATAATTATCAAATGTAAACTTAATAATAACAATAATCATATCATCCAATCAACCCATTAAATCCAAACATAAAAATAATAAAAGAGAAAAATGGCTCCAACAAATGGTCCTCCACCATTCAGAGGAATTTGTGGGTACAAGAGAGAGCTCAGGTCTGGTGGCAAATTGTGGCAGGCTTTAATGAGGAGATTTCCTTCAATGTCATTAAACCGCGGAGAACTATCACATTGTCACAAGTTTAATGATGTACAAAACAGAATGCCTCAATAAATCCGATCTGTTAATGTACATGATAGTCGCATAGTCAAATATATCTGATTTATATCTGATTTATTTCCACATATGAAGGAGGCCTAAAACCAATCTCTAAATATCCAAATGCATGCGTTTTTTTCGTGTTTACACGGTCATAGAACAGATCCGATCTGTGTCAAATATGAGCAAAAAGACATTTTTAAAAATCTGAAAATTGGGTCACATTTAACTAGCAGTGCAAATGTAGCCTAAGAGCATGTAGCCTCCAAATCCTTAAATGGAAGACATTCTCTTCCTAAAACTGGCCATCTGGCCAAAGTGAGCTATCGGAGGAGAAGAGCTTTAGTGATAGAGGTAAAGAAGAATCCAAAAACCACTGTGGCTGATCTCCAGAGATGCAGTCGTGAGATGGGAGAAAGTTATAAAAAGTCAACCATCACTTCAGCCCTCTATCAGTCAGGGCTTTATGGCAGAGTGGCCTGACGGAAGCCTCTTCTAGTGCAAGACACAAGAAAGCAGCATGGAGTTTGCTAAAATGGTGAGAAATACAATTCTCTTATCTGATGAGTCCAAGATAGAACTTTTTGGCCTCAATTCTAAGCGATATGTGTGGAGAAAACCAGGCACTGCTCATCACCTGTCCAATACAGTCCCAACAGTGAAGCATGGCGGTGGCAGCATCATACTGTGGGGGTGTTTTTAAGCTGCAGGAATAGGACGACTGGTTGCAACAGATGGAAAGATGAATGCAGCCATGTACAGTGATATCCTGAACGTAAACCTTCTCCAGAGTACTCAGGACCTCAGACTGGGCCGAAGGTTTACCTTGCAATGACCCTAAGCCAGCTAAAATAATGAAGGAGTGGCTTCACAACAACTCTGTGACTGTTCTTGAAAGGGCCCAGCCAGAACCCTTACTAAAACCTAATTGAGCCTCTCTGGAGAGATCTAAAAATGACTGGCCACCAACGTTTACCATTCAACCTGACAAACCTGGAGAAGATCTGCAAGAAGGTATGGTAAAGGATCCCTAAATCCAGGTCTGAAAAAACCTGTTGCATCTTCCCCAAAAAAACTCATGGCTGTATTAGATCAAAAGGCTTCTAATAAATACTGAGCAAAGGGTCTGAACACTTAGGATGTGATATTTCAGTTTTTCTTTTTTAATAAATCTGCAAAAATGTCAAAAAATGTTTTCTGTCAATATGGGGTGCTGTGTGGACATTAATGAAGAAAAAATAGTACTTAAGTGATTTTAGCAAATATGACTGCAATATAACAAAGAGAAAACTTTAAGGGGTCTGAATACCGTTCGTACCCACTGTATAGAGCAGGGGTGGCCAACCCTGTTCCTGGAGAGCCACCTCCCTGCAGATTTCAGTTGCAACCCATACCAAACACACCTGCCTGTAATTATCAAGTGGTGTTCAGGTCCTAATTAATTGGTTCAGGTGTGTTTGATACAGGGCCGGAGTGGGACTCTTTTTCAGCCCTGGAGTTTCAAGCCTCAGACCGGCCCACCTCAGTTCACCACTGACTATATCAAAATAAGGTTATTTCCAATTCAGTTTCTAATTACACTATCACGTCTTCTTTTGAGAAAACAGCTCTTTTAGAACTTCAAATGTTCAACAACCCTTACAGTATTATGTCTTAACAATAAAAATGAAAAAAAAAATTGTTACTCAGACAAGGACCGAACCCAGGTTGGCCGCGTCATAATCTAACGTACTAACCACTGTACCACAACAGCTGTACGTTTAATGGTGACTTATCTAGTTATATCATCATCAACCTGCATCCTGCTCACGAGGCTACGAGAAAATAGATAAAAAGAGCAGAGCTGTGGTAAAATAATGAATAAGAAGGCTGTGGTCAAGTAAATAATTAAATTGTTTTTAAAAAGTGTGACTGCTGAGAGCAACCGATTCTGGAACTAGGGACACCGGCCCTCGCGGCCAAAAAACGGACCGGCCCACCGGGAATTCTCCCGATTAGCCAATCTGGGCCTGGTTTGATATGGGTAGCAACTGAAATCTGCAGGAAGGTGGCTCTCCAGGAACAGGGTTGGCCACCCCTTGTATAGAGGCTAGTAGCTATAGAAAGTACTTTTCTGTCTGATGATATATATTGTTATAAAATGTTATATAATAAAAAGAATTACCAAAAATATATAGCAGAGAAAAAAAGTGAACAAGACAGTAAAAGGCACCTACAGGCATGCACTTCTGGATTGTCTGGGCATGCAGGGTTCAGGTCGGATGGTGAGGATGAAGGTGATGATGATGATGATGATGATGATGATGATGATGATGATGATGAGGGTGGTGAAGGTGACAGCTGTTGTGGTTCAGGTGCCGAGGACGATTTCTCCATGCAGGTAGGGTTGACCCAAAAAGCTTTTCTTTTGCCATTACCTTTCTTGCTGGTGCCGCCCTGCTGGTCAGACTGGAACATGTCCTCACTGCTGCTGCTGTGCAGACGCTCTCTCTGCAGCAGCTTGTCCACTCGCTGGATTATACACTCCAGACTCTTGTCCACATTGCCCCACACCTTTTCCTGTAGAAAAGACACGATTTGTATAAAGAGCATACCCCCAACTTTGTGAACGACTTGGGAAGGGGATAGAATATAGACTTTATACAGAATAAAAATACATTTGTCTATTGGGAAGTCCCCAAAAAATATCTATGTATGTATGTATGTATGTGTTTATGTATGTATGTATGTATGTATGTATGTATGTATGTATGTATGTACAGTATGTATTCAGGGATGGGAAATAATACTTTAATAATGCAATAACAGTTCTTAAATTCACTTTAAACCATACAAACATAATAAAATAAAATAGAATATGCGATTTTAAATTGTATTAATTTACATTGTCACAGTAATAAAATATTGTAATTAAAATAAAAATCTAAGAGATGTTTTCTTACCCACTCTTCCTCATGCCAATCAACATGGAGGGATGAACGGCTGTTGCTGCCACTCCATTTGGCCAGCAGTGTGTCTTGATCGTTCCTCAGCACCACCTGCTCTGAGTCAGCCGAGGGTGAGTTTTTCGAGGCGATGTACTCAGGTCTTGCTGCGTTCAGGGCCTGCACTGCAGACGCCAGCAGTTTACAGTCACACACCGTCACTAGCTGTCGAGTCTGAAAGTGAGTGAGAAAAACAGATTATAGTTTCAGCCAAAGACCACGCTGGGGACAAGTAAAAAAAAAAAAAAAAAAAAAAAACAACTCAAAATTGAGCTATCAGTAAGCCTCTCCCTAGAATGCAGATGAGCAGATGGCAGTTCACTATCAGTTGCATGAGTACCAGAACTTGAGCATCTTTAGGTTACAGCACCATAGAGAAAATCTAAAAGTTTGATCATGTTTATGTAACACAAAACAATCAAACTATGTGCCTGGGATTTTGGCCAGGAAGGTTTTGTCTAAAGTTTTCTATCACCAGTCGAAATGAAAGTCAATAAAAGTCATACCAAGTATATTAACATTTAAAGGAATCAGTTCCCCTTTCCTTGCATAACCTATGCCAATGTTAATAGTGGTTACAATTAAAGTCAGGTTAAGAGAAAAGTGTCTCAAATTTTGAATTAGACTGAATTGCATCAGAAGAAAAAATTGATCACAGCAACCATTTATTATCTGTCAAAAACAACATATTTCAGCTCTGAATTACAAGAATCTTTTAGGATTTTCCAAATTTGCCAAAATCCCAGTGTGTGAGCCAGGCTTTACCATGCAGTACACAAACCGTGTCATGATACTACCAAATTATTGTATTTAATAAATACAGGGTTCCCACTCCCACTAATTTCATTAAAGGTGCCCTATAATGAAAATCTGGGTATACTAAGGCATAGTAGAAGAATAAGACTTCAGTGTATTAAAATGGCCATACTGTGAGCCCAAGAAACCATTGTTTACTAGTTACCATGTGAATTCGATGAGTGTAAAACCCTGGCCAATCAGAGAACAAAACAAACTGTGACGAGACCTCCGAGCCTTGCCCTCCGCATTTGCATGTATAACTACTTTAGGTCGTTCATCCAGGCCTGACGTCATCAAGAGAACACAGTCTCATATGTAGCTCTGAGAGCATTAAAATGCACAACTCGGGCTGCTTTCAATAAGCAACAAAGTTTTCTAGCGATAAAATAATGATAGTTTCCCTTCACTAGTTATTTTATAGCTTCTATTTAACTTACTAAGAATGTGGGACTTTTATGTTGAAAACACAACGGCAGATTGTTTACTATGCATTATTGGGCAATAGGGTTGTCACGGTATGAATTTTTCACGGTATGATAATCGTCTAAAACAATACCACGGTTTGACGGTTTCGCGGTATACGGTATGTTACAAATGTTACAAAATAATAGAACAGTGAAGCAAATTTGACTTTTTCCAAATAATATATTTTTAGTTACTATAAACAACACCACTTACAATGAACAAATAAAAATAAGAAAATAATAAATAATGTGTCAAAGTCCAAATAAAGTCCAAATAAACATGGTGCAAATCCTCAGTAAAAAATAGATATATATATTTACTATACTATAAATAGTTACATAACGAAACTAGATTTAATATGGAACATCCTTATGTTTTATGTGCCAGCATGGATATGGTTGTCTATGGATATGGATTTGGATATGGTGGTCTGCAATGCAGACAAACAGCCGCACCTTCATTTGCGTCTTTTGAAAACAGCAAGAGCAGCAGTTCGTCTTTGCTGTGTCACTGTTTTGTCATGTTTCTGTGCTGCTGTGCATGCAAAAGTACTTAGTATGAGAATTATTTCATGCAAAACTTTTTTTTTTTTTGCTTTTTATTTAGCCGCGCATAAATGTATGCCTTTCTCTCATTCAGTGTTGTTCAAAAAGCTTGGTCCACAAACAAAAGCGAAACCTATGCTTATTGGTTGTGATATAGCGAGTTTGAACCAATCTGGGCATGGAGGAGGGACAATGCATCAATGTATCATGTCTGATTTGTCCGGAGACACAGTGACGAGCGTTTCTTTGTCAAATCAGCGTTGTCAAATGTTGATGACGTAACCGCACTGATTCCGGAGCCTCTGAAAGTCTGCGAATGTTATGTGATACAGCACTGGAAAGCTGAGATTCTCTTCTTTATGCCAATCTTTGAATTGTATGAATCGGATCAGCGGATCAAAAGTTATTAAACATTTAAGAGCAATACTTATTTTTAGCCGCGGGCAGCTGTCTCTGTCTTTAAGGGTTAAAACCGTTGATATGCAATTGTTCATGGTATGATAATCGTGCACGTTCAAATCGTAGTAAACCGTCATACCGGTATATTGTTACAACCCTATTGGGCAACGACATGTTCAAACTCACATCAGGATCCAAAATGCAAGATTTACAGATCATACAAACGAAGACTGTGGGTGGGAGTGGCCAGAGTTACCAGGTCACAGATGTAGTCAGGTGCTAGCCCATGCACATATGTTAAAATCAGAGTCTAAGAATCAATACGTCACTCAACAGCAAACAAATGAAACAAATGTAAGTTAGCAACAGTAGCTAAGAGGGGCAAGCTTATCAATAGTTAGGTTATATGGCCAGAGCCAGATTTACTCTGAAACTCACCTTATCCGCTAGGATGGCGAGGGTTCTCTCCATGCCGTTAGCGGAGCGTTCTTTAGCGGCGCGAGACAGGCGCTCTGCGTAATAGCTGACCTGAGTCTTGAGCGTGTTGATATGGGAAATTATCTCTTTGGCACGGACGATATCCTGAGGGATGTAGACGATGGACTGGGAGCTGGACAGAGCGCTGCTGCTGGATCAGACAGAGCTGGGTTACTTTAACACACACCATACTAGCAATAAACACAAGCATACATTAGTGCACACTAACAGACACATAATGATTGAGTGTTTTACAGAGCATTTCAGTGATTCTCTAGAAACTTCAGGTCATCAATCTTGAAATTTTTATGAACAAAGGGGGTCATCGGAGCTGCAGGAGAATGTCGCAGTTAGCTCTTTAAATGGCAGATCTGTTCCCCTAAGTGTTTCTTACTATAATAGGACAATAGGAAAGCAATAGTAGGGGATACATCTTGGATAAATAACAGTACAACACATGGTTATCAAGGGTAGGCGTATATTTCATATATGAATATATTTTAGGGATCCATGGTTCTCAATATAATATTGAATTGTACGATAAGACCTCCACGATTCAATACGCGCTAGTGAATAGCGTTTTGGTTTAAATAATTTATGTGCAATTTATATCTCCCCGAATTGACTGTGTGTGCCTCTAAATCCATGAGCTGAGATGAGGAAACTCCTCGCCGCGAGTAAATATCCAATCACTATGCTCTAAAGTTAGGGGGCGCTTGACCATCATTCCACACTTTAACATTGCGAGCGGTGGTGAAGTGAGGCTGAGGCAACAGTACAAGGAAGCGCCGGCGAAGTGAGGCAACAGCACGAGAAATCGCCGGCGTATTTCAAATCTGTGGTGTGAGGACAATTCGGTTTTGCTGGTAAGTATAATGCCAATAAAAGAAAAAACGGTGAACAAAAAATAACTGTGTTCAAGCATTGTTTTACACGTATAACCATGACTGCACATCTGCAGCGCCATCACCCAGCAATATCACTGTCTGAAGGCAGGATAGCCGAGAAGGTAATAATGTCCTCCAAATAGCAACATTCCCTCGCTGATCCTTCAAGCAAACATACCCAACTGGTTCCGAGAGACACATAAAAATAACAAAGGCAGTGCGCGTGTTTATTGCTAATGATTTGCAGCCATTTTCGATGATAAGAGATGTGGGCTTTTGTCATTTTTTTATACAATACCCTAGGAATTACTGTTCTTTTCTTGGTTTTTAAGCAAAAAAAAATTAATATTGCAATAAATCATTTTTTTTTCCTTAACCTCTAACTGTTCCTATTGCCGAAAGAATAAAAAACACGTGTCAAGCCATTAAAAACCGAACCGAACACCTTGTTAAAAAAAACGTATTAAAAATCGAGGTATGTATTGAACCGAGGGCTAAATGTATTGTTACATCTCTAATATATATATATATATATATATATTAGGGATGTAACAATACATTTAGCCCTCGGTTCAATACATACCTCGGTTTATATATATATATATATATATATATATATATATATATATATATATATCCACAAGAGTGCTGTCTGGTTCTTAAATCTGATTGGCTGATAGCCATGCTATATTCTGCAAAAAAAGTACTCATCCAGCCTCTTAACCCTTTACCCTTGTGTATTATTCCGCCCACATACAGTGACAAGCAGATGACACTCAACAGTTTGATAAACATTGGAGCTTTTGGACAACATGATCTTCTTTTGAGGCTTTTTTAGTTGAGAATGTTGTTGTTTAGATTGCATCTATGCAGTTTTTTTATAAGGAATTTATAAGCCTATTTTTAAATATTTAAAATTTCTGAGAGACAGCGCGTTTGCGGCCATTAGCCAGTCAGACGCTTGACGATGTTCATCCACAAGATGATGACAGAGACTGCATAATAAGCCCTAAGAGAAAAACAGCATCATTTCAAACTACAGCTGATCAAATCATTAAACAGGTAAATGACTTTCTAAGACGATCTCTCTCTTTTGTATGTTGAAGTGCTGAATTTTTTAGCATAGCACTTCAGGCAGTAATATTGTGATCTCACGATTGCAACAGATAAATACTGGGAAATCTCTATAGACTGATGGCATTTTATGCCGTTCAGCCTTATAATCTTAAAATGTGAGCAAAATAACCTTTTATGTCACCATTTTAGACATTACGCTAGAGAATCAGTCAAATACTAGCTCTAAAGTGACGTAAGTGAATGAACAACAGCTTCTGCTGTTCTGACGCCAGCTGCAGATGTGAAACAATAGTGGAAGAAAGTAGTTCCTCTTGCAAAAGGGTTTTGAGACTCTCAGTGTTTGATTTTCTTTTTTATACATATGATTATGCCATCGAAATGTTGTATAAGTGCAATATCACACGAGTAGCTGTGCAACGTGGCTGTATATCGTCTGGTGGGACACTACAGCGCACGCCTCCCACCGCACGCACCAGTGCCGATATACAGCCATATCGCTCTGCTACTCGTATGATATTGCAAATATACATATATAAACCTAAATTCTAATGCTTGGTATGAACGTCGGTTGTTTTGACCACACAAACAAGCCAAAATGCACTGACCATATTGTATATATACTAGGCCCAAAACTAACTTTTTATCAAAGTTATTGACATTTAATTTGCCAATTTCTTTTTGCTTTAACAAGACATAAATCTGCTACTTCTGTAACTTACCATATATTAACATGTTTTTATTAAAATACAATTCAATAATGTTTTCTTAATGCTGTAGGCTTTAGAGGTACAGTAGTATTACTTGGATATTATTATTGCATAATAGACTGCAGCTATCAACAGAGCCCAAACGCTTAAATTCAATTGCTCAGTTTTAGATTACTCAACAATCAAAGAAAAATGTAAAATAAATTGCACATTAATCAGATTTAGTTTATTTGTACACCTAATTATAACATTTTGCATTCTAAATACTTGCTCAAATTGAATAATTTACACACTGGGTCCATCTTCTTATGACCTATTATATAAACATACATTAAATAAGACATCACTAACAGGTTAAGCAAAATAAATGAATACATACATTAATATATACGCATACACAGTGCATATATTAATATAAACCTATTTACAAAAATGCTCTTCTCTAAACTGTGTTTCTCTAGTGGACTACCATGCTGAATGACTTGACTGAGGTAAATGTATTGCTATGTGAAATGTTATTTACAAGCTTTATTATTGATGTCCTTCCATGATTGAGCAATAACATGAGAAGTTCACTCATGTTTAATTTGTGCAGTGACTAACTTAATGGTAATCATGTTCACTCGTGCTCCAAAGCCTGAACTGAAATGTCTATACAATGATCTGTCATGCTACATATAACAAAATAAAATAGACAGAATTTAAAAGAGAAGACTGTTTTTTTTAAATCAATTGTAACAAAACAAAAAGAAGTGGTTGATTTATATCTTCGTGGATATTTCACCCAATTACAACAGTAGATCAGCCTTGAAAATAAACATTTGCTTGAGAGTGAGAATGACAGGGATCAAAAACAGAGAACACATATATATGTGTGTGCTCAGCAAAGACAGTTGCATTACACACTCCAAATTACTAGCGACCACATAGAAAGGATGATAGCAAGACGCAATAATGATTATTATTCTGATCCAAACCATAGTGAGGCAGCCTATGCATCAAGGGTAATTAGGTGTGAAGAATAGTTGTGCCTCCAAATTTTAAGCCAGCCCTATTAGAACATTCAGAGTTAAACAGTTGATTTTTACAATTTTTTAATCAATTCAGCTGATCGCCATGTCTGGCAGGAGCACTTATAGCTTAGTTTAGCATAAATCATTGAAGCTAATTAGACCATTAGCATCTCACTCAAAATTTACAAAATAAATTATTATACCATTTTCCTATTTAAGGCTTGACTCTGTACAGTAGATATAATTACTAATTTTACATTTTCTAGAGCAATATTGCAAGGAACTATCCTCTCATTCCTGCCTAATAACTTTGCTGCTTTAACATGGCTGCAGCAGGGGCAGTTATATTGTGCAGCACCTGAAATTAATTCCTGACTAAGTAACTAGGTAAAAGTGTTGCATAATATCATTGGGCCTGCAACAGCCATGGTACAGCAGCAAAGTTCCTTGATTATTACATTATAATTTTTGAGCAAGATGCTAATGGTCTAATCCCATTCAATAATTTTTTGCTAAGCTAAGCTATGCTAACAAGATATAAAAAGGTAAAAACAAATGTTTAACTATGAGGGAGATCTTAAATGAGAAGCTAAGCTATGCTAAAAAGATATAAAAAGGTAAAAACAACTGTTTAACTATGAGGGAGATCTTAAATGAGAATAGCCCCCCCCCCCCCCCCCCCCCAAAAAAAAAAAAATAAATTTAATAAAAAAAATAAATAAATAAATTAATTAAAGAAAAGTGGAGTGTTCATTTAATGCAACCAATGCTATGCAGCAATGCTGCTCACAAGGTTTTTGATCAGAGATGTCATGCAGAAAATGCGAACAAACCACAAAAACAAACAAACAAACAAAAAATAAGTTCAAACTAACTCACCATTCCTCCTCATAAATGCTGATCAGAAAGCAAAAATGCAATTAAAAAACGGATGAAAAATAAATGAAGAGCATATCTTAAAGAAAAACTGCTACTGATGTAACACAAGCAAACAACACATAACCAAGAGCAGCCAAGAGAATGTGGTAAATATTAATGAGAGTAATGATTCAAAACAGACTATACACATTCTAAATTACTAAAAGGCAAATATAGTTAACTAAAAAAGTTTGTGGAAAAAAATAGCTAGAAAACAAGATTAAAGGGATATTTCAATAAAAAAAAAGTATTTAATCACTATTTACCCACCTTCATGTGGTTCCAAACCTTCACGGGTTTCTTCAATTTGTTAAAAACAAAAGAAGATATTTTGAAGAAAGCTGAAACAACCATTGACTTCCATAGAAGGAAAAACAAATACTATTGAAGTAAATGGTTTGACAATTTTCAGCTTTCTTTATAATATTTTCTTTGTGTTCAACAGAAGAAAAGAAGTCAAACAAGTTTGAAACACATGAAGGGTGGGTAAATATTGACAGAACTTTCAGTTTTGGGTGAACTTTCCCTTTAAAAAGCAAATACAATTATAAACATAGCCTACTAAATGATAAGGCTAGGGGAAAAAAATAATGTGCTTTTATTTTTAAAAAAGATACAATAGTCTTATACTTAAACAATAACACATTACTCAGAATTTACTCACTTACAAGTGGTACCAAACCTTTATAAGTTACTTGAAGGGGTGTTTGTAAAAATGCCATGATGCATTTATAATAATGACAAGACGCGTCATGAATATAAAGGACGTTTTATGTATGCTTATGTAAATGTAAACTTAAGAAGCAGTATGTAAGTTTGAGAACCAGTGGTTGGACTAGGTACTGCATTCCTGGATCAAAACAAATGCAAGCGCAGGTTTGCCAGATTGAGGACCAACAAGGCTGATTTAAATCGTGTTCCATATAAGAGCAACGGCACGCGATAGAAGGAATATTTTCCATATTAAAAGGAGTTTTTGTCTAACCAACATTTCGAATTGATATTAGAAATGGCTTCTATTTCTTGCAGCTGAACAACAGAAAACTGACAATGATCACCTCAGGTAAACCTCATGTGCTTTACTCAGTGTTAAATGCTAACAATGTAAGTTTGAATGACATTTATTGCCATACTACTGAAAGCAGCAGCAGATAGTTCATCTCAGATCTTTAAAATGAAATAAACCGTTTGAAATTGTCTGGTAGAACTGTGAATTAATGCCAACCAACACATATAAGTGATTCTGCATGTACATTTAATAATGTTGAAGAGGTTTAATAAGTATTAATTAGAGTATAAACTTTACCATTTCATGAGCAAGTGAATATTCTTCGCTTCTGAATGGCTGTATTTTAATTTTTGTTGTGTTTCGTTTGGTGCAAACAGCCAAATTGTTTATCACTGCAAACCTCATCACGTAGCATGTTGTTAGGACACAGGGTTACAATGTAAGAAATTGTATACAATGAAATTTATATTATTTGCTAACTAATAACCTCATGTGGAACTCTGAATCTGCATCTCATTTCAGAGTCTGCTACTGTCCACCGTAGGTCACATTCCGGTTTAAGGACAAATACTTTAAGAGCCTTATTGAATAAATTAATGAAAAATGTGATTTTCAATGAGGGCACCCTAAGGTGCTGTAATATTTGGCTAACCTGGCATTGGGCAGGTTAAAAAAACCAAAACAAGCACATTTTCAAAGCTGAATAACCGACTTCAGCATTGTTTTTTAGGTAAACAAGAATGGTCACTTGGCATGTTTATTAAATATCTGCAAAAATATTGTGGTATTTTTATGCTTTAGAAGAGTCAAAAACTTACATACAGCACCTTTAAGTGTCATTCTTTCAGTTATGTCATTTTAAAAGTTGTGATGTCTTTGTTATGATAACTTGACAAACAAATACATCATATTTGACATTGACATTACCAAGACAACATAACTTGTCATAAATCTGTCATAAACATGATTGTAATAAGGCTATTATAATTGTGTTATATTTTTCCGCACATTTGTCTTTCAGTGGAACAAATCGAATTTGTCTTTAAAATTAATAAGTAAAAGTCAATCATTTTTAATGACATTTTAATGAGAAATTCAAAATGTATTACTGTAGTTGAAAATAACTAACTAAATAAATAAATAAATAAATTGCAGTTATAAAATTCCTGAAAGTTTTAATGACCTAATGACAATCATGTTTATGACGGATTTATGACAAGTTAAGATGTATTGAGTTTTGTCAATCCAAAATCGCATTTTATATGATTTAACTGAGTGAATGGCACTTAACGACCTGCAAAACCGAATAGGTTAAGGCAACTCAAACCATTTGAGTTAAAAAATAATCTATATGAGTACTGTGAACTTACTCCATTTAAGTTGAAGTAATGAGATATTTAATTTCCTCATTACCTTCAACACTAAGTTTAAAACTCTTTTCAAATTAGTAGATTTAACCTTCAGTAAATTCTGACTGAACTACACTTAATTCATTTAATAAAGTTGACAGTTGGGTTTTACAGTGTAGTCAAGCATAAAATCTCATTGTTTTTCATGAAGTGTCAAGTCATGATTATAAATGATTAATGACAGTCTTATGAACCCGGCTTCAAGTGAAACATTACCTTACTTTCTTTATTCTGTTGAATATTAAAGGCTAAAAACCTTTAACCATTGACTTCCATAGTAGAAAAAACAAATACTATGGAAACCAATGATTACCAGTCTCCAGCTTCCCCCAAACTATATTCTCTGGTGTTCAACAGAAGAAAGAAAGTCAAATAAGTTTTTAACTAAGTGGAAGGTGAGTAAATAATGACAGAATTTTTAGTTTGGGTGAACTACAAATATATTACAAATATATTACACATATTAAAGCATATCGGAAACTGATCAAATCTTTTTAGGTAAAACAATACCAGACAGCTGGTTAGCCAAACAGATATGCATCAAAAAATGCTGTCTATGGCTTAGCTTATCACCACAAATAATGATAGCATGATAGCTTTTGCTTCACATGCATACAGACGCATACACACACATGCAGGAAATGGTTTACGTTTTGCAAAACCAGGCCAACTTACACTTTCTTTGCCTCTTCAAACTTCTGCAGGAGTTTCCGTAGACCACCGCTTTTGAAGCCCTGACAGTGAGCCGCAGGGGCCCCGATCGTCACCACATCATAGGTGTGATCTAGATCAACAAACAAACACACACATACACATAGCCAGTTCACACTTCCCACAAACAATCATAATGAATAACGAATACATAGTGTAAGCAATAAACTACACTGATGAAAAGCAAGTTCTTAATATTGACTTAGAGTAGTTTGTTTCTTGGGATTATTCAATAGTACATGCAGATCTACAGTGGGTACGGAAAGTATTCAGACCCCCTTAGATGTTTTACTCTTTGTACAGCTTCATTTGAGTCCAGCTGTGTTTGATTATACTGATTGAACTTAATTAGGAAAGCCACACACCTGCCTATATAAGACCTTACAAGATCATAATGCATGTCAGAGCAAATGAGAATCATGAGGTCAAAGAAACCGCCTGAAGAGCTCAGAGACAAAATTGTGGCAAGGTACAGATCTGGCCAAGGTTGCAAAAAAATTCAGTTGCACTTAAAGTTCCTAAGAGCACAGTGTCCTCCACAATCCCTAAATGTCCAGCCAATCTAAGCTATCAAGGGCAGAAAAGTCCTGGTGAGAGAGGTAAAGAAGAACCCCAAGATCACTGTGGCTGAGCTCCAGAGATGCTGACGATAAACGCAATCGAAAAGCGCCCCAGAGTGTACGAGCCTTTACATTGCAACTATTACAGCTATTTTTTACTATTTAACCTAACTGTTATCTATTTGAATATATTTAGAATGTAAAAATTCCAAATTAAACAAAAAGAGCTTCAGTTGTAACTGATGTGTTGGTGCTCTTTGGATAAGTTATTAAGAAAGATACATCAAAAAAAAAAAAAACAAAAAAAAAAAAACATAAGAATATAAGGGGGCTAATCATTTTGTCTCCAACTATATATATATATATATATATATAGTATAAAAAATTATAAAGACTTTTATAATTAGCACACAAAGCTACAGTAATTTAACCAATAAAACAGAATATTGCATCTCGTATTACCTATATTATTATCATTATTTTATTATATTATACTATTTCCAATAGAACTACAGGAATTGTAAAAGCAAGACTGTGGGTCAAATCTAAAAGAACAGCTAATGTCCACATGTATTTTTGTGTTGAATGCATGAAAACGTCTGTATGTGAGCTTATCTAACTGTTAAATGCTGAATAACACCTCCTACGGACGGCTAGGATTCACTCACATACACCAAAGTGGACAGGAACATAAGTGGTATAAAAGTGACAAGTGACAAAAGCAGTCCAAACGCAGAGGATGACTAATGAAATTCCACAGAATAAAATAAAGAAGAAGAAAAAAAAAAGGATCTAACCACAGCCAGACTCATCCTGAACCCTCATCCTCTGCACGTGGAGGTTGGTGGGCATAAATTCCAACTTCCTCTCTGCTTTCAAATTACTGGCTTTAAATGACGGACCTGTAGGAGACAGAGATAGAAAGAATCGCTTGACATCACTCTATCATTCATGTGGAGTAAAAAGGTGTACTATTCTTATGTTATGGTTGGTCACATAACTGTATTCCATTATTATTTTGCATGTTTAAAAACCAGCAGATTATACTATTATACAATATATTTCACGCCATGTACTTACTGTTATTCAAGTATCTACTTAATAAAAAAAATATTATTAGTATTATTAATATTATTATTAGTCATTCAGGTTACTGGTGAATCTTATATAGAATTGTACAGTATTTTTTGTATATATTGTATAGTAATAGAATAGTTTTGGGTAACTAGATACTGTGACTAGATACTATAATTAAACTACCTAAGCCTTGAAAGAGTAAAGTAAAGGATGACTTTTATGTAATTTATTCACAGATACTCAAAGTATTAGCCTTTAATACTGTACATAAATTCAACAGGTCTGTATGCACTGTTTTGCTTGTTATACAAATATGTTTTGGTACTTAATCATATTTTTCAACTTATGGTTAGATTTAATCTGGACAATTGCATGCTTTCTGTTGGAAACAGTTAATTAAGTAAGAAATCGACGACAATTGATGGTGTGTATGAAATATGGTATTTCAAGTGTTTTGTATCTTGATATATAATTGTTTAAGTTTTTAAAGTACATGTAAAAGCACCTGTTTAACTCAAACTCTATAAAGTTAAATAATTAATTTTATGTTGTCTATGCATTGATATTAGTTAGTGCTGTCAAAATTAGCACATTAACACATGCGATTAATTTGAAATATGTATCGCGTTAAAACAAATTAACGCAATTAATGCAGTTGCAGTTTTTTTTCCTCTGTTGTGGTCGACGTGTGTTCAACATGCAAAGAAATATAGATAAGACCAAGTAAGCACTTTTAGAAGGAAAGTTTCAGTATAAACAATTAATGTCACATTACCAGCTATCCAGCGTTTCCTCCAAAGTTTCATCTAATTTCGTATGTATCATTTTTAATCTTTCGACTTTTGTTTTAATTGAATTTGAAACCAAATGCCAAATGCCAAACCCCCGCATTTTGTGACTCCCTGGTCCTTTAAGGTAATCAAAAATCACTGCTTACATGGTAGACTCTTATTAAGAGTATTATCTTAATCATATTAAAAGCAGAGTATTGGTGTCCATGTAAATGTACTTAGTGAAACTCAGATGATGTCGCAAGCTGTCAAAGACTGCCTTTAAGATGATTCCATGCGCCCTTAAATGTTTCATTAAATTTGACGTGTTTCCCCCTTTAACACAACTTTTGTAAAGCCACTGGTTCACGTTGCCATGTCAGAATCCTAGTGAAATACAGCCATACTTTAAAATGCTTAGTTTAAGCAAATTTGATGAACCCGATCATGCGTGTCGAATAATCTTGGAGGCAGTCGCTCACTGGCTGCACTGTCCTGTGTGCGTTTTATGTGTGTGTGTCTGTTTATGTGCACACACTTCCTAGCAACAAGAACAAACATTGCCTAAACATTGCCGTACAAATCCCTCAAAGTTGTTTAAATGTTTAAAGATGGTGTGACCAAAGTACCTGTAAGAATTAGCCTTTGGTATGACACAACCTGCGGATGCCTTTGATGTACCGCTTGATGCTTCTTACGTCCTTGTCGTAGCACCAGTGGCAACAAAATTAGGCACCAAAATGCATATGCTGATTCAATGATTCTGCTTGTGAGAGACTGTTCTCACTCTCAGCTCACATCATTCAAAAGAAAAGGTCCACATTGTCCCCGATAATGTCAACAGACTGGACGGTTTAAGCAACTCGCTGAATGTAAAGGAGGACTAAGCAACATTGTTTCTACTTTATAATTAATTTTCTTAGCTATCAGCAATACAACTTTTCAATGAGTACAATTGTTCGTATTTCATATTTGCAATGCCCGTATTTATTTATTTTTTTGCAGTCCACTTAGAATAAAACATAGAAATCACTTTTTTCATAATTGGCATTAATTGTTTTGAAATTCAAATGACACTAAAATGCCTGTGTTTTTATTTCTGTAATAAATATGGCTTTCAAGCCAGGATATTAATGGTTTATTGTGGGTATGTTGTTTACATGTAGAAATCTGTGTTACAAGTTAAACAACAATTCTAATAAACAATTATATTTTAAATTTAAATAGTTTTGTCTTGGGTTTACATTAATTTTACATTTGATAAGCCAAAAATACAAGTTTTACTCTTTTAAATGTGATTAATTGCGATTAATTGCAAAAAAAAGTGTGATTAATTAGTTATTTTTTTAATCGATTGACAGCACTAATATTAATAGATTGCAGTGCTTCTTTTTTAATAAATCTGCAAAAATGTCAACAATTCTGTATTTGTCTGTCAATATGGGGTGCTGTGTGTACATTAATAAAGAAAAATTTTACTTTATCCTGCTATGCTCTTGGGGATGTTTTTATCCACTCTAGGATGATTTTGTGTCTTAATTTGGCCATTATTTTTGTTTCAGCTAGCAGAATGATTTTTGGTGACAAATCTTATTTTGACACATATTTTGAGAAAACACTCTGAATTAAAAACAAACAAACTCAACAATACTTTTATGGAAATGTACTACCCTTTTGTTATGTTAGGGATGAAAACATCCACTAAATTAAACTGCTGTAAAAATACATAAAATAAATATTTCTTTAAAAAAATTTTCCCAAAAATCTGTTAAATCAACCTCAATCCCGATCAAAACTACTAAATTGCTTAGAAAATTACAGGATTTAATTAATAACCAAATATATAAATAATCTCACTGATTTGGTGAAAAAAAACACACACAGTGCCGTATTTTCAATATGAAAAAGTAATTGTGAAGTGGATTTCTTTTTACCTTTGATCAGTCTTGGACATGTGAAACAAAATTGACTTTGATGCATTGTTTTTGATTGATTCTCATTTTGTTCTCCCTGATTTACTGTTGGTGGCTGTTTTTGCCTTGCATTGACTTCCAAACCCCTGTCTTTTGTTCCAAAAACAAGACACCATTTAATTATGCTTTTTTGATTGTTAGTAGTTTTTCTTGGAGGGAAATTTAAATTTTTACTGCTGATCATCATTTCACAGAGATGGGTTGCGGCTAAAAGGGCATCCGCTGCGTAAAACCGTGCTGGATAAGTTGGCGGTTCATTCCACCTTGGCGACCGCGGATTAATAAAGGGACTAAGTCGACAAGAAAATGAATGAATGCTGATCATCAGATAACCATTTAGATAGGCCTGTGCAAAAAAGCGTAGTTTCTGGATTTTATATGGAATATAACGGCAAATTAAAGTGTGTGTATGTGTGAGAGTGACCTTTTGCACACTAACCTTGATGTGTCTGAGAAAATCAAAATATGCATCTCAGCTCTCAGAACTACATGGAGTAAATAAAAACAAAGATTGTGTATTTATGCACCATCAAATGTGGTTATAATGGAAGTCAATGGGGCAAAAACAGCTACCAACCGTTTTAATACCCACTGTGTTGTTGGTCATATAAAACTTTCATTTGTCATTGTTATCTAAAATATTATTTATTATTATTATTATTATTATTATTATTATTATGTATTCTCCTACTAGGGCTTTAATGCTGCAAGCCAAAAATTTGGCTTAGAGCTGTGTTCTGTATTGCAGTTTGTTGGTATATCTTTTCAGACATAAAGTTTTACTATAAAACATTTTAAAGAGCCCATATTATGGGTTTTTGAAAATTCCCCTCCATGTAGTGTGTAACACAGCTCTAAGTGAAGTGAAGTATCCAGCTAAGGCTTAAATCTGTAAGAATACAGTGTTTAAAACGGTTGATTCATCTATAAAAGAGTCGACTCATAGTGCTTCAAACGAGTCGCCTTGATACCGACTCATTAGGTGTTTCGCCATGACGTACGAATGAAACCAAGTTATTCACGTGCACGCGCAAACCCGGGAGATTTCAAACCTGAGGCCCCGCCCTCTGACGCAGAAACCCAGACACACACACACACCCACAAACACACGCACACCCACAAACACACGCACACAAACATGCCGGTCGATTGAAGTAACACTGCAGATGGACATTATATTGAGTCTCTACCCAAAGATGAAACATCAGCAGTTGGAAACTTCTGGAAGCTACATGCTACAAAGAATACTTCATCTGAGTTTGTTAAAGGAAGGATCAGTAAAGAGTAACTGATGGACGTCAGGATGGGTTTCTTCCATTTCTCAAGTGTAAGTACGTGCGGTTAAAGTTGTTGCCTCGTTTACTCTAGCTTGCAAATGTATTTAGTTGTGATTTGTTACTTGTAACCGCGTGTACTGTATCAGGTTAACTGGATATATTATCTTATCGCGTGCAAAGTCACGTTAAAAACGCGACGCGTGCTGTTTGTTTATGGAGCTCCGTGCTAGAGTTCTGCTCCCGCGATTTATTCGGAAATTTATTCCCGCGCCGCAGAAATCTGGCGCGGGGACAGCCGCGGGAATAAATTTCCGAATAAATCGCGGGAGCGGTCGGTAACGGGTTTAATTTGGGACGGGAGCGGGCTGTCTAGCAATATCACGGATATTGCTATGCGAATTAGAAAGAGAGAGTCTGCGTGGTGCTTGTGTGTGTGTTAGTGCGCACGCGCGCGTATGAGAGAGAGCGAGAGAGAGAGAGAGAGAGCGAACGAACGAACGAGCTTTGTGCTGTGTGTGTGTTTATACAGAAAGCTTGGCTGTCTGGACTGTATACTGGGTGATTTTTGGTTGTGTTCTCCGCTCTAGCGGGACCGGGCGCGGCGGGCAGAAAACGGAGCGGGTTCTCAGGCTAAAACCTGGCGGGTGCGGGCGGAAGCGGGAGCGTTGTCATCCGGAGGTGTGTGTGTGTTTTTGTGTGTGTGTGGTATGGCGAGTACACGACTGTCTCCTTCGTTCGGTTATCCGTGGCACTATCCACTCGCCATAGTGTGGCAGCTAAAATCCACGTCTACACTATCGAGCGTGTATGAACTGTGATTACTTTTTAAATTGCTGATTAGCTATTGGCCATTTCCCTCTCTGACTGAAGGCAGTCGACCAATCGCGACAGACTGTCATCGGTCCAATCAGCGCAGATTAGCTCCGCGCTAAGGAGGGGTTTGGGAACAAATGAATCACTGGACGATTCATACAGGAGTCGCTGGGATAATTAGCTAAAAATAAATGCAGATTATAAGACCATGAAAGTGTTTTTTGACCTTGCATGCATATTAGACTGTTGTTGGAGACCCTTACAACCAGGATATGACCCTATTTCATGTATAATATGGGCTCTTTAAGCATTAAATATTCAACAAAATATGGCAAGACATGTTTACATAAAGTCGAAGTCCTGTCAAAGTCACCTTGGCTTTCTCAAGACAACATCAAAGTTTGTTAACAAACTTTAGCTTCTAGTTTATTTTAAGCGACTGAATGAGTAATATGAGTGTTATATTCCTTGAAGTGCTTTAAAGTTAACATGATTTAAATAAACTTAACTGACCTCAAGCAAATTAGGCTTATTTATATTTGCATTCTTTTTGTTGGTTCTGCTTTTTTTAAGGCACACATCTTGCTATTAACAAACCATTACCTATGCATTTTGCCTTAATAAACTCATAATTTGCAGTTTATTAAAAGTTATTAGGGTAGTGATTAGTTTAGGTATTGATGATAATAATTATTATATCAATCAAGCTAGATCAAGTAACTATTTCACTATTGGCAATAAAGTAGTGCAAAATTAGAATTTACGTCCCTTTTTTATTTAAAAAGCTAATTTGTTTAGAAATCCTAAATCAAACTTTAAATCCCAGACAGACAATTAATGTAGTCTAACATCTTTGAAGCTCATTCATCATATGTTTCTGTTTTCATAGATCTTGTGCTTAAGTACTGAATATCTGAAGCTTCTGAAGAGATTTATGTATAACAAAACAGAAACACCTCCGGCAAACTTAAAGTACAGACTGACCTTTGTAGTCCTGCAGGTCTGACCGTGTGTCCTGATAGGACAGAAGGATGCTCTGGTACTGTGTTACAATCTGCCGCCTGAGATTCTCCCAACATGGGGATAATTCTCCCAACTCCTCCAGCTCAGATACCCTACCAGCATCACAACACAAAATTATGTCAAGACACTCTCATCAGACATTCAGTGGAGATCAAAATTAGAAAACTATCTATAAACACTAGTTTGTTCATTTTCACCCCAGTGGCAAATCAGGTTTCATAGTTTATACCTGATCTCAGATCAGTTTTACAAGTTTGTATAGGTTTTAATAAGACATTTGTTAATTGAAAAGAAATAATAGTTAATAATAGGGATTAGTATCTTATTGGACATTTTAGAAGTGCCCACTATGGAACAAACAATATATAAAAGCCTTAAAAAGTATAAAAGAATGCATATTATGCAGACACTTAAACTTATAATAAGCTAAAAGCACTTATAGATTATATGTTTAATTTAAAAATTGCAATATTTTTAAACAAGTCAATTCTAATGTATGTTTACCTGGTGTGCCAAGTATGTGCTTCATTTTGCGAAGCTTCAATTGTTCTATTATTTAATTGCAAAGCTTCAACTGTTCAATTGTTCAATTGCGAATCTTCAACTGTTCAATTGTTCAATTGCGAAGCTTAATTGTTTAATTGTTCTATTATTCAATTGTGAAGCTTCAACTGTTTAATTATTCAATTGCAAAGCTTCAACAGTTCAATTGTTCATTTATTCAATTGCGAAGCTTCAACTGTTCAATTGTTCTATTATTCAATTGCGAAGCTTCAACTGTTTAATTATTCAATTGCAAAGCTTCAACTGTTTAATTGTTCAGTTATTCATTGGCGAAGCTTCAACTGTTCAATTGTTCAATTATTCAGTTGCAAAGCTTCAACTGTTCAATTGTTCATTTATTCATTTGCGAAGCTTCAACTGTTCAATTGTTCAATTGTTCAATTATTCAATTGCGAAGCTTCAACTGTTCAATTGTTGATTTATTCAATTGTGAAGCTTCAACTGTTCAATTGTTCAATTATTCAATTGCGAAGCTTCAACTGTTCAATTGTTCAACTATTCAATTGCGAAGCTTCAACTGTTCAATTGTTCAACTATTCAATTGCGAAGCTTCAACTGTTCAATTATTCAATTGTGAAGCTTCAACTGTTCAATTGATCAATCATTCAATTGCAAAGCTTCAACTGTTCAATTATTCAATTGTGAAGCTTTAACTGTTCAATTGTTCTATTATTCAATCGCGAAACTTCAAATGTTCAATTGTTCTATTATTCAATTGCGAAGCTTCAACTGGTTTTCGAAAGTTTTGAAAAGTTTAGATTCTACCAACATCAACAGGTACTGTTTACTAACAAGGTAACAGCATCAAATACTGGCCTGGCATATGTAATACAGTATTTTTGGTCCTTTTCTCAGAGGTGTAAATGCAGATTGTCTTGAAAACGTCTTGTAAACGTGAAACTTTTTTTAAATGCAAGGGGAAAAACATTTTAATTTTTGTCTAAATCGTTGTTATGTAAATGTACCATTAGATTTCTAAAGGTTGCAGCGATTAAACATTAGTAGGAAGTGAACAAACTAGGGGTGTAACGGTATACTCTATTGTAGCGGTTCTTGCACTCCCACGACAAACGTACTCAGTCAAGTCACTGCAGTAAGGTAGAAAAGACCACATCAGCACAACAACTTAGCAGCAGTTCACAAAGAACACATCTTAGCATCTAAAAAATGCTAAAAGTAATAGTTCCTCCATTTTGCTGTTGTCAACTTGGTACACAGAAGCTCGCATCTAAAAACCTGGTACCTGTGTGTGAGGTAGTGCAGAAGATGCAAGTGGTCATGCATATCCGTAAACTTCGTTTACATAGAAAAACAATAGAAATATACGATTTGGTATAATCCTTTCTCTACATACACGCATACGGTTGAACATGAGCGTCCACTACACTCGCTGTTATAAATGAACCTCAAGTCAGTTAGCATTTTCATTAAAACAGATTTCAGCTTACTGAACCTATGTACAAATACTGTTCTCTTGTTGTTATGAGAGGTTTGGGCTCATTCATTCATTTTCTTTTCGGCTTTAATAATCAGGGGTCACCACAGGTGAATAAACTGCCAACTTATCCAGCATACGTTTTATGCAGTGGATGCCCTTCCAGCCACAACCCAACACTGAGAAACATCCATACACTCTTGCATTTACACACATACACTATAACTAATTTAGCTAATACAATAAACCCATGTGAACATTGGGAGAACATGCAAACTCCTCACAGAAATGCCATCTGACGAAGCCCAGGCACAAACCAGCGACCTTCTTGCTGTAAGGCCATCGTGCTACCCACTATTCCGCTGTGACGCCCTGGGCTCAGACTTTGAATGTTTAATATGCAGCCTAGTTACAAAGTTTTTTGTTTCATTATTCTGTATATTTTGTACTTTAGTATCTAGGGCTGGGCGATTAATTGAAAAATAATCGAAATCGAAATTTAGAACCTATAATTGATTTAATTTTCCCAGGTCGATTTTATTAATTATTTTGTGTGGAGTCACGTGACCCCCCTCTGTTAAGGCTGATTTACATTGAGAGCACACGTATGGTCCAGCACAACCTTCGCACGGTCACATACCCATGCACCTCTCAAAAATGTAACTAAATGTGGTGAAGACGCCTAATGCAAGCTCTGTGATTGGTCAGTTTGATAGCGTTGATCAAACTGAAACTTAGAGGAGCTGTTTTAATTTACCTTATGATTAAAGTTTTCCCACGTCTGCCTGTTCCCGCCTCTGAATGAGCAAGTTTTAGGATGTCATACATTAAGGCAGCATTCAGAAAAAGCTAAACCCCCATGAAGAAACTCGACACATAAAAAGGAACATAAAAACTTGCTGCCAGCTAGTGTTTTAGAAGTGTTACTACAGAGCAACACATACAGCATGCTGAAGTATAGCAATGCACAGCTACGCGCAAGGCAAGCACTGTTGGTCACGCTGATCACTCGATGCAGATGTACAAATCAGCCTTTTGCTGACCACTTTGTAGCCACATCTGATCTCTGGTCAAGTAAGATGATGGACCCATTCTTGAACTTTACTTTGCACAAAATTGACGATGTGATTGTGAACTGTGCCAGAGATGCCTTGAGACAGCATATTTCCAATTACATTCAAATTATTCATTCATTCATTCTTTTTTTTTTCGGCTTAGTCCCTTTATTAATCCGGGGTCGCCACAGTGGAATGAACCGCTAACTTATCCAGCAACTTTTTATGCAGCGGATGCCCTTCCAGCCGCAACCCATCTCTGGGAAACATCCACACACACACTCATACACTATGGACAATTTAGCCTACCCAATTCACCTGTACCGCATGTCTTTGGACTGTGGGGGAAACCGGAGCACCCGGAGAAAATTCACGCGAAGGCACGGAGAACATGCAAACTCCACACAGAAACGGCAACTGAGCCGAGGTTCGAACCAGCGACCCAGCGACCTTCTTGCTGTGAGATGACAGCACTACCTACTGCGCCACTGCCTCGCCACATTCAAATTATTGCTTACATTAATATATTTGTTTACAGAAGATGCAAGAAATGCACTGTCTAAAATATTATTTACAGGATATGCAAGAGTTATTTTATTTTAAAGAGATACTGCTTATTTTCTTCTTTTAATATGAAAAACAATGAAAAAATTTATTTTGTATCCAAAAGTACAAATTATTAATTGTCACTTTTTTATAAGAAAAATGTGACTGTTGGTTTTAGGCAATGTGTGTTTTAATTTTAGTTGTTCTATATTGATATTCAATAAATAATAACAGATACAGGGTTCCTACACATTTTCACAACAAAAATTCCAGGACTTTTAAGTCAATTTTCATGACCTAATGTTTCATGTAATGTCTACATATATGTGGTAAATCATAAGAAACATTAAAATTTTTTACAGCATATCATAAAACACGCAATAATTTCAACTTATTTTTATATCTATGCAAAATAGATAATGCTTACACAGCCCTAATAATGTGAGACCAGTAAAAAAAAAAAAACTAAATTCCAATATACACATATTTGTCAAAGTAGTTTTAGATAATCTCAATAGTTTGTATGGTAATGATTCACTTTGGCAAAACCAAACGAAAAAGCAATGGCAAAAGCAAGTAAGAAGAGAAACTTAACAGAATGTGAACGGGAGGTGCTCCTATCAGAGGTAGACCAGAGAAAAACTGTGTTATTTGCAGTTTGTCCTCCGGAATTAATAACCAAAAAAATAAAAAAAAAGAAAAGAGTGGGAGAGTTTAGCTGACGCAGTTAACGCAGTGAGGTCTGAACATCGCACTGTGAGTGAATTAAAAAAGAAATGGTCTGGTGTAAAGGTGCAGGTTAAGAGCACCGTCAAACTGTGGAGGGGAACATGGGATGCTGAACTAACACCCTTCGAGGAGAGAGTTGCTTCAATTGTGAGCAACACTTTACTGTCTGGAGTAGTATTCGTGTCTGTAGGAGACACAGATGTATTAGAGGAACAATTTGGTTGGGCGGTATAGCAGCACCCCTCTGCTCTTATTAAGGCAGTGCCACCGGCATTTTAGCTGGCCAATCGCATTTGAGCATCACATATTATTTTCACAATTATTGAATAGAAATATTTCCGATTCACATATGCAAATTCATCTTCAGACGTGCGTGCAGTCGATCGCTCTGATCACATTGGGAAAACCGGCAATCACTGCCAATTGCGGTTTAATGTTAGGCTGGTCAACTGCATGGTATGGAAACCTTATATACCTGCTAGACATGCAGATGATCCCGTCCCATACAGCTGGCATTGCACGGCTAAAAGACGACTGGATTCGCATTTCACTGCATTCGAAAGTTCAAGCTTGGTGAATTCTTCCCTGCGAAATCACATCCGGTGATTGTTTGAGACTAATAGATGATCATTTAAAATAAGAAAATTTCTGTGAGGAGTTTGCATGTTCTCTTTGCGTTCGCGTGGGTTTCCTCCGGGTGCTCCCGTTTCCCCCACCGTCCAAAGACATGCTGCAGGTGAATTGGGTAGGCTAAATTGTCCGTAATTTGTGAGTGTATGAGGGTGACAGGCCCAGACGACAGGCCGGCCGGAAGGTGTAAAAAAGTCGTTATCATATGGACAAGTCGAGGACTTGTTCCAAAGAGCCGACCCCGCAACCATACGGAACTAAGGCCAAAGAAGAAGAAGAAGAAGAAGTTACTAGTTCTATGTTTGGCTGGTCAACTGCATGGTATGGAAACTTTATATACCTGCTAGACATGCAGATGATCCCGTCCCATACAGCTGGCTTTGCACGGCTCAAAGACGACTGGCTTAACACCAAGCGGTCTGCCAGTTCCCTTTGGAAAGAACCAGTTGCCAGGATGCATTGTTGGTGCCAAACTTTGTAGTGTGCAATTTAACATAATTGCCTCTAGGTGTCGCCAATAGAAATAAAAAAAAAACACACACAAGAAATACACGTACACCAGACATGAAGTTGGCGCGGACCAACACACATTCTCACATTAATTTCATTGTTAGTAAATCCAAACGTGAGCGTGAAACCTGGTGTACGCAAAGTTTTTGTGAGTAAGCAGCGTTGATACATGAGGCCCCAGAACGACTAGTTTCGCATTTCACTGCATTGAAAAGTTCAAGCTTGGTGAATTCTTACCTGCAAAATCACATCCGGTGATTGTTTGAGACTAATAGACGATCATTTAAAATAAGAAAATAAAAATATGGAGCAATCGCTCACTTTTATTAATGTCTAATCATATAGTTCAACCTTGCCCCTTGGCAGCGCCACACGACAGAATTGTGCAAATCAAGTCGCTTTGGACAGAAATGTCTGCTAAATGACTAAATGTAGGGAGACACAGTTGCGCAGTAGGTAGTGCTGTGCCTCACAGCAAGAAGGTCGCTAGTTCAAGCCTCGGCTGGGTCAGTTGGCATTTCTGTGTGGAGTTTGCATGTTCTCTCTATGTTCGCGTGGGTTTCCTCCGGGTGCTCCGGTTTCCCCCACAAGTCCAAAGACATGCGGTACAGGTGAATTGGGTAGGCTAAATTTTCCGCACTGATTGTGTGTGTATGGATGTTTCCCAGTGATGGGTTGTGGTTGGAAGGGCATCCGCTGCATAAAAACGTGCTGGATCAGTTGGCGGTTCATTCTGCTGTGGCAACCCCGGATTAATAAATGGACTAAGCCGAAAAGAAAATGAATGAATGAATGAACGATTAAATATAAATGTAATTTCTATGACTTTTCCAAAACCTTGTAAATTTTTCTGTTTTTTCCAAAACTCTCCCAGGTCTGGAAAATGCTGTGTCAAAATCCCATGACTTTTCCAGGTTTTCCAAGACCGTATGAACCCTGCAGATCGTAGATGTGTTTCCTTTAATTATTTTAAAATCAACTAATGCACACTTCATTCAAAAATCTCTGACTTGTAATATGTGAGCATACTGTATTTACTGTACAAAACTTGTCAGTGAACTATGAAGGCAAATATATATATACATAAAAATACAATAGGGACGATGCAGTAGGTAGTGCTGTCACCTCACAGCAAGAGGTCTCTAGTTCGAGCCTCGGCTGGTTCAGTTGGCATTTAAATGTTAAATTTAAATGAATAAAAATAAAATAATTGTTAATTAATCCTAATACAGTTAAAATGCTTAATTAATTGAGATTTTAATTTTAGGCCAAATCTTCCAGCCCTATTAGCCACAAGTAGCTGTTGAGTTCTTTAGTTGATTGTGACAAAACACTTCTGCCTGTTCAAAATAAACAAGCACTGAAGATTTGTTATTTCTGTTGTACCATACGAGTAGTGAACCATGACCTCAAAACCGAAGTGTGTACCAAACCGTGACTTCTGTGTACCGTTACACCCCTAGAACAGACCTTTGGTTGCTAAATAACTCCATTTAAGATAACTTAAAATATAACAAAGTTTAGGAAATTGTAGGTTCTCTAATACTCTAACTTTAATCTCCATTAAATCCATATAAATAAAATGATCACCGTGCATGCAACTCAGTGTGCATTTCTAAGATTGTGAATAACACCTTGCTGAATCCTCTTCCAGTAAGAGTTTGACGAACTGTCGTGGGACGTTGAGTGACAGGACACTTTCAGCCATCTGTTCCAGGATTCGTAAATGATTCCCATCAGTGGTTGGAAAACGGTACATCCGTGACATGGTGCCACCAAACACTGAGACACAAAAACACAATTAAACTGTGAAGAGAAATCAATTGTGCCAGGCCGTGGCATTAAAACTGAATTTGTGTGCTTTTACTACATTACGACCAGGCTCTGGATTTCACTTCTGTCAATAAAAATGGAACTAAGTGGCATTGAGCTTGGGGAAAGCACTATTACAACAATAAAACACAATTATCATATGTTATTCTTAGTAGCTGCAATGACTCTGTCAATATTTCCTATAGAGTCATTAAACATTGTAAAGTGATGCTCAATGCTATTTTATTTAAGAGAAAGGATGCAAAGATGTTACTCATCACTTTTTATTAACGATAATTAAGATGTGCAAATTTTGTTACAAAATAAATTGCTTGCCAAACTTTTTCAAAACAATTATTAAATAGCTGTGAATGATTCATAAATAGTAATATACTGTACAAAAACCTTTTAAAATGTCACTAAATGATAACAGAGTTACTACTGCATATGTATCTCCTACCTAGACAGTTACTGTGAAATACTGTTCAAAAGTTAAGGATATGTAAGATTATTGATCTTTTTTTTTTATTTAGCAGCCATGCATTGTCAAAAGTGACTGGAAAGACTTTAACATTAGCTATGTTTCCGTCCACCTATTTTTATGGGCATTTTGGATATGCGCATAAAAAACATTTGATTCAATTGGCAAGATGTGCATCAATTTTTTAAAAATGCGCATAAAAAAACATATGTGTGCATAACTGAGTAGAATAAACTTTTATCAAATAAGAAAAGATGCGCAAAAAATATGATGGAAACACTTTTACTGAACAAATTCCAATATAAGCATAAAAAAAAATCATGTGATTTTGTTATAAGAGATCATGCGATGATAAAAATGGCTGAGCACATTGTAAAACATCTGAATTGTTGTTTTAGTCATTTAAAATGCCTTAACCGTTTCAGTATTACTGTTAATGCAGTGGTTCTCAAAGTGAAGGTCATGGCGCAGTAGGTAGTGCTGTCGCCTCATAGCAAGAAGGTCGCTGGTTCGAACCTCAGCTCAGTTGGCATTTCTGTGAGGAGTTTGCATGTTCTCCCTGCCTTTGCGTGGGTTTCCTCTGGGCGCTCCGGTTTCCCCCACAGTCCAAAGACATGCTGCAAGTGAATTGGGTAGGCTAAATTGTCCGTAGTGTACGAGTGTGTGAATGTATGAGGGTGAAAGGCCCAGACGACAGGCCGGCTGGAAGGTGTAAAAAAGTCATTATCATATGGACAAGTCGAGGACTTGTTCCAAAGAGCCGACCCCGAAACCATACGGGACTAAGGCTGAAGAAGAAGAAGTTACTAGTTCTATTGGATTGCGACCCCTGAGGTAATTGGATTATATTAAAGACACAGCAATAGCGTCAGATGCAGCAGATTGATTTTATAATACCAGGTTAAACTTTCTGGCACATTTACAGCACTGACATACATTTAAAAAAATTAAGCAGAGAATAGACTTAGGTCTATTGGTGTGTGTGCGCCATTGCATGCGAGGTTTCTGTATTTATAACCACCTCAGAGGATATTGGGGGTCGTGTGTCACTGGCATTGGTATTTTGGGGGTCGCGGGCTGAAAAGGGAACCCCTGATCTAATGGATTCGGATTTCTGCCTTCCAATCCGTCCCAGCATAGATCAACATTTATCCTTTTTCTCATTACTTTATTAACATGATTGCTGGAATAATTCATAAAGTTAACACATTGCTTAATATAAGAATGTTCATTGCATTTGCCTGTTTTTTTTTGTAACTATTTTCAGGAGCCACCAAATTAGGTCAGAGGTCATGAAGACCTCGAGTGGAACTGAAGGGTTTGATGATTAAAAACAACTGTACAACTGTTTTCCTATTAACATTGATTTTGATATTATTATTATTATGTGTTAATTCTGTTTAAAGTGATTCTACTTTTTATTTAAGTTAGACTTTGTGTATTGAGGATATAACTGTCTAAATGTAGATTATACCGGTTTTTAACCAAGTTTTGATAAAGACTGCTGAAAGTACACTCAGCCTTGGGTAAGAAACGGATTGCACTGTAAGTACAGTATGTGTGTTCTATTTGATTGTGGATCCGTTTCACAGGTCTGGAGTCAGCTCTAAACAGCCTTGCCTGACGTTTATATGCTTAAGATATTGTTCAGAATTGTACGCACGCACCCACATAGAAATTTTCCTAGTCTCTCTGTTTTAACGAATCAGGTTAAAACACCTATATGTATGATGCAGTTAATGATGTTATGTGAGAGTATAATTGTTATTGATTTGTGATCGTAGGCAGAGCGGCCTAGGAACTAATTGCGAGTGTTGAAGCTGGCTTCTGCTGATGAAACTATCTTCAGTAAACTTAATTTATTTATTTGAATCTCTGGCTCTTCTTCATCTGACAGACTGCTCATTCTTTGGGTTAAAACTGTAAATAATCCCTACATATCATATTATTAATGACCTCCAGAACTGTCAAGAGCATCTGTGCTGCACGTCTGATGCTTTCAAACGCCACCACGTGTTCAGTGTGTTTCAGCATTGTCTTTTGAGGCGCAAGTAATTTATTAAATAACAAACAGATTCACGCAGCTTCTCCTACCTCAATAAGTTCCATTTTTACTTTTGATATTTGGCGCCAGTTAATCAGGAAGTGTTCTCTTCGACCCCTTGGATGAAAACCCTGCTTTATTCACATGTCTTTTATGCAATATTTCAGTTTTAAATAAAAAAGCATAAATTTAATCTTTAAATGCAAACATAGCTATTGATAAATCAAAATGTATATATTTTAAATTTAAAATTAATGAAATTAATTAATTCTAAAATGAATACATGTACTGTTTGTTTCATCAAAAATGCTATGTTTTTAACTTGAGAACAATGAACCAGCATATAAGTGTGATTTCTAAAGAAAAGTGACATTGATGACTTCAGTAACGCTGCCCGATTAAAAAGTCAACTTTGTAAAGAAACCCAAATTATTCTCATTAAAGTAGCCTAAATACCAAAGATCAATATCACCAGACACAAATAATCACTCTTCTCCAAAATTCTTTCACAGTTTTAACCTAATTTCGAGCTGCGTCGCAATACACTACCTGAAATTCTTGTAATTGATCCCAGTTGTAAGAGCAACTAATAACTTGACTTCTACTTGATCATATGAAACATGGCAGAAGGTAGATTTTTCTGATGAATCATCTGTTGAACTGCATCCCAGTCATCACAAATACTGCAGAAGACCTATTGGAACCCGCATGGACCCAAGATTAACACAGAAATCAAAGTTTGACAAAGGCAAAAATCAGGTTTAGGGTTACATTCAGTATGGGAAGATGAATCCAAATAATCTTCATGAACTCCAGAATATCTGCAGGAATGATTTCTTTGCCATTCCAGATGACTTAGATAATTAGTTATTCCAAACTCATGGAAGTCATACACAATATTCATTATTTTTCCACTGCACTATGACTTTATATTCTTTACAGTACATTACTTCTGTTAAATGACAAGACTTTTGTCTAAGCAAAGTCAGACCTAACTATGCAAATTAAATAATTAAAAATCCCTACATGATCATATTTCATTTAAAGGTTGTGAACCTACACTGGTCTCACAGTTCAGTGCAGTTACGATTATCATGCCATCGATTCGGTTTAACTCGATATCTCTGTGCATTGACGATGCTTTGCATACATAATTAGATTTTTTCTTCACAACAAGAATTTGTTTTATTAAAATACAATCATCATATTGTATTATTTGTAATACAATATTGTCCTTTAATACAGCATTAAGATATATGAACTGTACCTTTAATTTGACCTGCTCAAAGAAAACACTCTTTTTGAATGTATAAAACAAAACTCTAATACATACACAGAAGATAGCGTGAGCATTTATAACAAATAAACAAATGTAAATATTATCCCGCTTGCTTTTTTAAGCGCGTATTGCACCCCTATGATTGGTCATTGTCTTCACCTGCTCAACAAAAAGGGCTGCGATTGGCTTTAGAAATGAAAGCGATGTTCACCGATGAGTGACGCGTGAAGAACTGCCGCGGTTACAGTTTATATGAGCATAATGCGCGGTTATCACAGGTAATTCATAATAGACACAATGGAGAAAACTTGCACCTCAGGCACGCTCATGTCTGGATCCACAAGTATCGCTTTAACAGTCGAGAGAAGAGGAAAAGTTACCACACAAACAGGTCAGCACAGCGGGCCAAATGTCCAAAATGTGAGAGAGAGGCGGGGATGGAGTTTTATAGCATTTGTAATGCTGTAATGCTCCCTAGTAAAGGAAATGCAGCTCGTGCACTTTGCCTTCTTCATTGTTAATTAAAAAGACTTTCAAGCAAACTCACAAGCAGTTGAATCGTGCATAATTATCTACCTTTTAGTAGGAGCATTTTATTTAGTTGCCCTCGCCTCCATCGCCATAGTATTTTACTGGAACATCGCGCATAGGAGATAAACGACATAATCACGTAATAACCAGTTATGATCTATTACTGAACCAATATCGAATTGTCACCATCTGCATCGGGGTGCACTGAAGAAACAATTCATTTTGACACCCCTATTTCATTTTGGTAAATTATGCGTGAACTAGAGGCATTTGCCTTTCATATAAGCCACTGCTGATACCAAATGATCAACTAGAAGTCAAGATAATATTTGTTAATCCTAAAACTTGGATGGGCGGCAAAACTTTCGTCAGGTAGTGTACAAACACACATTATGGGAGTTTGTAGTCAACACAATATAAAGCAGCATGGACTTAATGATGTTGGGCTCAGGCCAAACATAAAGCACCGCGTCAATCACTCTAGATCACTTGCAGGAACCTTTTCACCTTGTACTAACTTTACACTTACACTTATCTTGAACTTGCGTGAAAGATGCGATTGCGGTTCATTCGTGCAACCCAGTGTGCATCGACTTCATTTGTAATCAATAAACAAATACTTCAATTTGCAATTGGTGTGAACCAGTTTGACGTGTGCAGTGAATCATCTTATCCAAAAACAGTGAAATGTGCACCTTTGAAATCAATCCTACAGTTTTCGGCCTTACATCATTTGGCCACACAGTGCATTTCCATCACACCAAACAAGTCGTTCTTCTATTGGCTGACATTCATACCAGATCGTAGAAATGAGTCTTTCCACAGAGAGGCGTATTTTGCTCGGACTCCCACAGATTCCGTCAGGCTCTCATCCACAGGGAGGACAGTCTGTATCAACATGGAGAACGAATCAAGCACATGTCAGAATGAGTTAAACTAGTGAACAAATGTGCTAATGGTTGAGATGCTGTGCCAAAGTCAGGCTTACCCTGCCATTGAAGGTGTCTTGCAGTTGTTTGATGGGTGTGTGATGATCTCTCTTCTCCTCGAGCTGCCAGGCGATGACTGTAATACTACCCACATGCTTGTTTTCTGCTGACCTGTGGGAAAAAAAGAGACAACAGATGCCAATACATCCAAACTGCATATGCTTGCGGTCCTTTTCGGCGATAAAGCAGACTGTTCTAGAAGCTGCATCTTAAAGGGATAGTTCACCCAAGACTGAAACGTTTACTTGTTCTACATTTAAGTTTTAAAACGGCGTTTTAGAATGAAAACGATCCACATTCCACACTGGTGTTTCACCTAGTGTTTTTAAGCAGCTCTTCGTCCACACTAAATCGTTGAAAACCATACACACACTCTGTCATGCGCAGCAGAGTATGCGCGCATCTGAGCTCCAGGCAATCAGCAGGTGATTTGACCACAGAACCCCAGGTCAGAGCTGAGCACATCGGACGTTTCATCAAGGATCTCCATCTGGATCTCATCTCACTATATTTTTTAAACAAGATTTTACTTCATCTTGTTGTCAATATCTAATGACATACTCGCTGACTTACTATCTTTGAATCTATTAATTGTTCTCAGGTAACATGTTTTGGCTGAGTGCAAAGATAAGTTAATGTATTAATTTATGTAAATCACATATACTGATTCTGCACATTTGACTGATTGCTTGCCTTTATTTCCTAATTTAGAAGCTTAGTGTGTGTTATACAGTACTTTTATAATGGCCATTATTGGTTATTAAAACTGATATTCAGCAAAAGAGAGGGTATGTTTTGTATTTTCGATGAAAATGAAAGGAGGCAGTGATGTTAGAGTAATGTTGTGGGCTGCGTTTTGTTATAAATATGCATACAATGAAGATGACTTTCATATAATATGCAGCTACACGACACCTTAACATTTTTGGTGTTTGTTAAGTTCCCCATCTACACTGGCACAGAGCAGCAGCATTTTCAAAACGCTCTGTTTTCGGCGCTCGAAAACTCCGCGGTAGTGTGGACGGAAGGCGTCAACATAGCAAAACGTATGGATTTTAATTCTAAAATGTATTACTGTACACGTGCACTGTATAAAATTCTGAGTTCCACACAAATCCTTCATGTTGTCCCAACCCAAAGCAATTAAGTTACTTTTTATTTTTTACAAATATATGTGGATTGAACATAAAACAATAAATTTGTCCAAAAGAAATTTAGAATTGTGGTGTTTCAACTAATTTTATATAAGTAGTTTGCACAAGTAGCAAATGTATATTTTCAAGTGTTTTTTTCTTTTGTTGAACACAAAAGAAGATAGCTTAAAAAAGTTGTAAACCTGTAACCATTGATTTCCATAGTATTTCTTTTTCTTACTATAGATGTCATGAATACCGGTTTTCGGCGTTTCTCAAAATATCTTCATTAGTGTTCAACAGAATTACTGCGCGTTCACACCATAGGCGGCGATAGCATCAAAGTAGCCGAAAGTTGTTAAATTTCAATGGGAGCCGGCAGCTATGAGCAGTGCGGTACTTCTTTGCCAGTGTGGGAGTCGAGGAGAGTTGAAATCATGCCAACTTTATGGCTATGATGTGGTTCAGCGGCAACCAGTCGAAAAGTAAAAGTCCACAATGGATTCCAGAGAACACAGTCCTGTGAACTATGGTTCCAATCACAGTTGCTCCCAAGGGTTTGAATATTGCAGCCGCTGGATTTCCAGTTATTTACGATGTTTTCTTACAGGGACATATGTAAAAAAAAAAGAAGTTACTGACAAGTTCCTAATGTGCATAAATGTAATATGTTTTTTTTTTTTTTTTTTTTTTAAGCGGGAATCTCATGCTAACTATATATGACAGAGCAAAACAGTAATGCTGCTTCAGAATATTTCAGACATATGAACATATTGGATGAGTGGAGGAAAGCCATACCACATGCAACAACTTGATCTTCCATAATTGCATGAATTTGATAAAAGGCGCGCAACATTTTAATGCTGGAAAGCATCTTTTTATGTGCGCAGGTAGTGATTTGCTGATATGCTGCTACAGCTCCTTTAAAAACAAGATCAATGCAGCAAATTTTGACAATCGCCGGCGGAATGCACAGTAAAGGAACTATTTAAAAAAAAAAGTTAATAGTGAGTACATTTTCATTTTTGGGTTCACACATGTTTTCTATTGGTTGACAATTATGAAATCTGCTTGTATCATGCACATAAGGATAACTGAATTTTTTTTTTACGTGCGAAATATACTGACACTGAGGCGAACAAACTGTTACAAATGTATTAACTGAATTATACGCACAAAAGCATTCTTGTAGGTGGATAATATTCCAATTGAACCACTGAAGGCATATGATCTTGTTTTGAAGATAGTTTTTTTGTTAATGTTGTATTTTTCTAGACTTTTTGGGATTTCGGGTTTGTGGAGGATGAGGGAGCTCTCTGATTTCATTTAAAATATCTTAAATTGAATTTCGAAAACGAACAAAGATCTCAGGGGGTTGGAGCAACATAAGGGTGAGACTAACAGAGTTTTCATTTTTGGGTGAACTATTTATTTATTTTTTTATGTATTCGGGGAGTCCATTATGTGTTTTTAAATTAATTGAGAGGTTTATACTAGGCCAAACATTCCAAAGGGCCATGGTCCTGGACAATAATATTTTATGAGGTGTAAATGTGGGAACATTTAAAAGTCCTGTAGCGAGTTGCATGAAGCTCCTTAAATCTTTCTTAAATATGACACTTACAGTAGGGGGTATTTTTCACTTAGCTATGAAAATAAATTAAAAGGTCTTGAATATAACCCATTAACTGGTTCTATTAGGTAAGGGAAATCATTAGGTGTTTCACAACATCGACACAGGGTTTGTTGTTAAAAATATATATTGTGGCCATAGACACCCTACTCTTATTTTAATGCAGTAGCGGCTTGACAGAAAAAAAACTCTTGGATGCAAACAGCAAAAAAGAATCATCATAAGTCAAAATAAGCTGTGATTTTATTGTGTGTGGCACTAGACAGGAGTGATCCTGTTCTCGTCACTGCAGTTTAAACGCTCCAAAATAAGACGCAACAAAGAGGCTGCTGCTCATTTCGCATTTGTAGTACCATAATGCGAGCACTCTTTCAGCCAGTCTAGTGTCTTACAGACACGCATCTGGACGTGTACGTTTACAAGCAGACACACTTTTAAACATGACGAAAGCTTGACTGAATGCATGTTCTCTATCAACAGTTTTCATCATTAATTTTGTTTTAGAAACTCTTAAGGTGGAGTTTTCTCATCCTTAAATAGACATTTAAAGTCTCCTTAAAATAAAAATTGACAAGGTTTATTTTGCTAGCTCACAATGCTGTTCTAAAAGTGAATGATAGAGTAGCTCCTCCCCTTTAAGAAAAACACAACCAATAGCGTTTTGTTTTATCACAGCTCTGCCAGTGAGAGTGGTTGAGCTCAAGAGCATCAATTGAAAAGCAAATGAATAGTGTCTTAAAGGGGGCGGGGCATGTCAGACATTAGAGAGCATTTGATTGGTCAAGGTTTGATGACAAACTGAAGTATAAGTTGACGTTGAAAAAAACTTGCATGTTTATATCAGTTTTATATTTTCTAAATGCAAATTTATTCACAGTTTTACAGCACAAACTAACAGACTTAAACTAATATCTGTTATTTTAATTTCATGGGACCCTTAAGTTTACTTTGAGGGAATGATATGCAAAAGAAAGCCCTGCACCTATTCCGTTTTAGTTGGCAGTACAATAACACAGTGTTTCTCAACTGGTGGGTCGCATCCCAAAAGTGGGTCGTGGGAACATTTTCAGTGGGTCGCGGAGAGTTTGGTCAAAAAAACAACAAAAGTTTTATTTCATTACTTATTTTGCTTGTACTAGACTTTTATTTTGAAATGCATGCGCGACAACCCTACCATTTTACATGTGAAATTTCATTTAATTATAGAAACAAATATGTCGAAGCGCAAGTGCAACCACGAATATGTAAAGTATGGATTTACATATTTTGATGACAAAAAAAGAATTAAAACGACATTTAGAAACCAGACAACATGTTTTATTAACAGTTCAGTTTAGTTCATGGTAACTGAACATTTCCTTACCCTAACCACTTTTTACAGTATTTGACGTTTTTACTTTGTAATATTTTTTATAATTTGATACATTTTGTTAAACGAAAGCAGTAAAATATTGTTTATTTGTAAGTCTTGGTGAATTTCTTATGATTTATCTGTCACTACTTGTGTATGTTAACAAATAAATACGAATTAGTTATCATTCCTAAAATTGTTTCATAGTTCTTAAAAATTTGTGTCGCGGCTTGATGACCATGTAAAAATGTGGGTCCTGTAGCCAAACCAGTTGAGAACCCCTGCATTAACATACTGTACTGAAAAAAAAAGTCTCTGCAACTTCCAGTTCATCCAGGGAAATTGTAAAAGCTCTATGACATTTCACTGACAGAAACACTTAAGTAGCATTTATTTTAATAGAATTTAGTTTAACAGAAACATAAGGGCATTTTAAAGGAAAAATTACCCTTAGGGTGTTTCATGCAGCTGGACACAAGTGTGAGCCTGGCTATAGAAGACATACTGTACCAAACAATCAAATACACTTCAAATACAGTGTACTTCGAATACAGATCTATCACCTGAGAGGTATATTAAGTCTGTGGTTCTTTTCCTGCAGAAGCTCCTTCACTGGGAACATCGCTGAGCCAAGGAGGTACATCTAGAAAAAGACAAAAGAAAGAAACACAATACAAGAATCAAAAGAGAAAAACAAAGTCTGATATTCAGAGCTTACTGCCAGTCTATTTTGTTGTGCGTGGTATTTGTATCTCACCGTTCCTTGTGAACGATCTTTCACATCATACACAGAGAGCTTGACCTGTGTGTGCTGGTTAATGTGGGAGTCTTGGAAGAAAGCCACGCTGCTGAGGAACATGGGATTATTTGTACCCTGCAAAACAGAGGTCAAAACGTTTGCTTCGCTTAGTCATCCCTAACAGTCCACATTGTTGAATTAATGATGAAAAATCAACAACAATCTTTGGTGATCGCAAATGTTAAGCTCTAAATACTAGGGTTGTGTAAAAATACAGATTTTCAGTTTAATCGTGTCTTTAATTTGAACTTAATCTTGAAAATGATTCTTGGAATACCAAAACCAGTCTAAAGATACAATCCAACAAAAAATGTACATGTTTAAGCAAACAAAAAAAAAGAAACATAATAATAACTGATTTTTTTTTGTAATTATTTATTTATTGCAGAACAAAGCCAGCATACATTGCTAGCGACAACTATATATAAAAGAGCGTTTTCATTAAATGAAAATACATAAAGAAATTAATATATATATATATATATATATATATATAAATTAATAAAGAACAATAAAATAATAAATAAATAGCAATACAGAGGAGAAGAGGAGAAGAAAAACTCTTGGGTGAAAATTATCTAGTTATTATATAATACATTTTCTCAATTAAATCAGACCATGCTTTGATTGTATTGGGTTTAGCTCTGTTAATTCTTGCTGTAGAACATTCTAACAGCCCAATATTTTATTAGTTCAATAAGCCACATTGTATCCGCTGGAATGCGGGTTCATGCTATATTTTAAATAAAACCTTCTTGGCTGCAGAATAACTGATTTTTTTTTATGAAAAATGAAAAAAAAAAAGTCCAATCGTTGATGTCATTTAACATTTTCTGATTTAACAATGAGTTATATCAATTAAAAATAGATATATTTATAGTTGTATAATTATATGTGCTATATCATATATAATCACATATACAAATTGGTCATATACTTTTTATAATAATAACAACATTCAGTTCTGTGAGTATTGCGTTCACCTTACATTTGCATTTACATGCATTCCCTCTGTGGTCAAACATCAGATAGTGATGTGCTACATTCTGCCATCTCCAACAAACAAAAAACTGTGTTATGATAGTATTTTAGTGTTACTTTTTAACTACAGAGGTCCCTTGTTTATTGCGGGAGTTACATTCTAAAAATAAATGCAATAGGCGAAATCTTCAAAGTAGTAAGCTTTATTTTTTACAATTATTACGGATGTTGTAGAGCTGTAAAATCCATCACTACTCAATTTATAGACTTTTCTCAGACAGGCATTAACATATTTACACTTTTCTCTCTTGTTTAAACACCCTCAAAGTTCAAACCTTCGTAGAAAAATAAGTCCAGTATTATAGAATGAAACCAAAGGTTCTGTTGCCAGGTGTAAACATTCATCGCTGTCAGCACAAAGTTCATAAAGCTTTTTAGCTTTAGTGCTGAAAATATTATTGTGCAGCTTAATGTTCTTTTTTCCCGCAGTCACTGATCCACAAAGTGAAAACAGACTCCATCCTTAAAGTAGCCGCACACCTGATGCACCGCGTATATAACAGTTGGAAGTAACACACACCGGAGGCGCATATTCGCATGTTATTTTAAATGAAATAATTCAGATGGCGAGGCAGAAATACAAACAGTGTCCCGAGTCGTAGCTGGGCACCACAGACAGCCCCCAACTTGCGGCATTGGTGTGCGTACCCTGATATAAACCTATGTTTGAATGGCGCTGCATTTGGTGTGCGACCCCCTTTTCCGATAGTCTTGCTGCGGACAGTTACAGCTCTTTTTGCATACTTGTTGAAACTCACATAGCTAGCGTTAATGTAAGCATTATGTTAATTTGGCAAGCTGAACGCATTCTGTACTATACATGAGACACAGAGGAAATTGATTGACAATGCCAATCTACAGCCAATCAGGATGCAGAACACAATGCGAAGTGCAAATTGCACTAAAACTAACTGCAAAACTGTAAGGCCATGAAAGATGGACTGCGTTATAGCGAGGGACCACTGTATATATTTGATCAAATAATTAAAGCCATGGTGATCATAACCCAGCAGGCACAGTACGTTAACATGACGTCAGATTGATGTGTACCCCAATGTCGTGGGACATTGCATTTTGCTTGGAAATAAAAATGGGATTGACGTCAAAACCCAACGTCAGGCCACGGTCAAGTCCAATGTCACACAGACATTGTATTTTGGTTATCTTTCCAACACAACATAAAAATAACCAAATATCACTGTCTAATGATGTTACAGCTTGACGTTGTGTTGACGTTACCACTAGGACATCTATCAGATGTTTTTGGTTGCCATACCGGAAGAATAAATGTCAGTATTTGATTTGATTTAAGATGTTGGCTCGGCGTTGAATTTTGGTCACATTCCAACACAACCTAAAATCAACCAAATGTCAACTTCATTTCAATTCATTATTGGATGTCAAAATAACGTTGTCCTTATATGGGCTCTTATATGCTGTTGTGTCATCACTCATATTGCAAGTCATATCTCTCCAGCCCCTCGTTTGGGATGCTTTTCATGCACTGGCCCCCATGACAAACTAATTGACACTGCGACCTCAATCTAACCTAAAAGGAACGTCTTATGATGTTGTGTGTTTGCTGGGGAGCTTCTTTCAAAAACTTTATTATACTATCAATACTTAAGCTTAAATATCTACAGTGCATCGGAAAAGTATTCATAGCGCTTCACTTTTTTCACATTTTTGTATGTTACAGCCTTATTCCAAAATGGATTAAATTAATTTATTTCCTTTAAATGCTACACACAATACCATATAATGACAATGTGAAAAAAAGAGTTTTTGAAATTGTTGCAAATTTATTAAAAACAAACAACCGGAAAAATCACATGTACATAAGTATGCTCAATCCTTGCTCAATACTTTGTTGATGCACCTTTGGCAGCAGTTACAGCCTCAATTGTTTTTGAATATGATGCCACAAGCTTGGCACGCCTGTCTTTGGGAATTTTTGCCCACTCCTCTTAGCAGTACCTCTCAAGCTCTATCAGGTTGGATGGGAAGTGATGGTGTACATCCATTTTCAGATCTCTCTGGAAATGTTCAACAGGATTTGGGTTAGGGCTCTGGTAATGAACGTTGCCTAGTTTTCTCCAAACATAACGCCTGCATTCAGTCCAAAGAGTTCAATTTTATTTTCATCAGACCAGAGAATTTTGTTTCTTATAGTCTGAGAGTCCTTCAGATGCCTTCAGGCAAATTCCAGGCAGAGAGCGGCTTCCGTCTTGCACTCCACCATACAGGCCTGATTGGTGGATTGCTGCACAAATGGTTATCCTTCTGTAAGGTTCTCCTCTCTCCACAGAAGAATGATGGAGCTCAATCAGAGTGATCATCGGGTTATTGATCACCTCCCTGACTAAGGCCCTTCTCCCCTGATCACACAGTTTAGATGGCTGGCCAGCTCTGGGTAGAGTCCTGCTGGTTCCAAACATCTTCGCCTTATGGATGATGGAGGCCACAGTGCTCATTGGAACTTTCAGAGCAGCAGAAAGTTTTCTGTAGTCTTCCCCAGCCTTGTGCCTCAAGACACTCCTGTCTCGGAGGTCTACAGACAATTTCTTTGTCTTCATGCTTGGTTTGTGCTTTGACATGCACTATCAACCCTGGTACCTTATATAGACAGGTGTATCAAATCATGTCCAATCAACTGAATTTACCACAGGTGAGCTCCAATTAAGCTGCTGAAACATATCAAGAATAATCGGTGGAAACAGAATGTACCTGAGCTCAATTTAGAGCTTCACGCTAAAGGCTCTGAATACTTATGTACATGTGATTATTCAGGTTTAATTTTAATAAATTTGCAACAATTTCAAAAAATCTTTTTTTCACATTGTCATTATGGGTTATTGTGCGTAGAATGTTGAGGAAAGAAATTAATTTAATCCGTTTTGAAATAAGGCTGTAACATAAAATACTTTCCGGATGCACTGTATAAGTGTACGTATACAAAATGTTTTTAATTTATGTCCACAATACATTAATATTACTAGTGTTTATTAATTTAAACAACTGCTCCAGATGTGTGTTCACAGTTTGTGTGTTCACTGCTGGGTGTATGCACTTGGATGGGGGAAATGCAGAGCACAAATTCCAAGCATGGGTCACAATGAGTTCATCTTTCACGTTTCACTTTCATATAATTTCTTTTTAATCAATATTTTTAAAAAGTTCGAAAGTTTTCTACATAATTTATAGCTTTATTTAAGAGTGACAAATAAAACACACCTCAAATAACTGGATTATAATCAAAAAAAAATAATTAAAATATGGTTTAAGTTCATTTTAAATCCAAATTTATAATGTTATTTTGCTAATCCACATTGTTATTCTTTTGGCAAACAAATTATTTGTAAAAGTCAAAAAAAGGGATATTCATCCCCCCCAAACCCCCGTTTCATTTACTCATCCCTCACTTGTTCAAAACCTATTTGAGTTTCTTTCTACTGTTAAACACAAAAAGAAGATTTTCCAAGAATGTTGGTTGCTTGGACCCACTTGAAATATCTATTGTTTTCAACAGGTTTCAAATAAAATCTAAAAATAAAGAGTAAATGTTAAAGCAATTTCTGTTTTTGAGGTGACCTATCCCTTTAAACCTGGATCATGTTGGTCCGCCTCACCTCAATAATCTCCGTCTGTGCGTGTTTGGTCCAGAAAGCCTGAGGAGGAGTTGTACAGCTCACAGCAACAAAACTATTGGGTTTCCGGTCCAGAGACGGTGTGGTCAGCTCACTGCAGACTACACAACCAACACTCGGGGTCATGAATTTTCCACAAGAAGCTTTGTATATATGAATGAGCTACAGAGTACCTTAAGTGTTATTAGCTAAAACCCTGCTGGCTCTCAGAGATATAATCAGAGCTCCACGGTTATAGCACTTTATTTACAGCAGATGAGAGATAGGAGCAGTCACTAAATCCAAACGCAGCTGCATTAGCAATTACCTTCGCATAAGCATACAGTAGGAGGCAGAGCTCTCGCTGAAATATTTAGATTACTGTTCAGTGTCATTTACAGTCTAAAGATCAAACCTGATAGCCTGATAATCTTGGCTGCTAATGGAGAATAGCTCATTTCTGCTGCCATTTTTGCTGCTTTAGAAAATCTTGAGTGTGTGATCGATTTAAATAAAGAAAGAAAAAAAAAGACTGACCAAGACTGAACTCCAGAACTGGCTCATCTGGATCTTGACTGTTTCCTACAGATAAGAGAAAGAGAAAGAAAGAGATGGTCTCTTATAAATGTGAAATGTTGCAGCAAAATGTTGAATATGTATAGAACAAAAAACTAAACAAAAACATCCATTGAAATTCTTAGTTTCTCTGTTTGTGTTTGAGTAAAAAGTTCATATTTGCTTTATTCTACAAAGGTCTGATATTGTTTATTGTTTATTGTTGATTATTAGGGATGTCCCGATCAGGTGTTTTTTGCCTTCATGTCAGAATCATTTAATTTTGAGTATCTGCTAATATCGAAACTTAATGCGATACTTCTATAATACATAAAAAATATAAAGAAGAGTGAAGAAACAGATCCAGGATGTTATTATATATAAAAACAAATAGCACCTCAACATGAATTTCCAGCAGGGAATCCCTGTGTGATTCTGTGAAGTCAAGAAAGAGGTCTAACTCTGTGCCATGAATATATATATATAATTTACACAGGGATTGCATATATTTTATATATGCAATTATATATATATATATATTTATATTGTCAGGTCGGCAGCACAGTGGCGCAGTGAATAGCACATTCGCCTCACAGCAAGGTCACTGGTTCAAGTCTCGACTGGGTCAGATTATGTTTCTGTGGAATTTGCATGTTCTCCTTGTGTTTGCCTAGTTTTCCCCTGGGTGTTTTTCCACCACTTCCAAAGACATGCGGTACATGTGAATTGGGAAAGCTAAATTGTCCGTATAGTGCATGTGTGGATGTTTCCCAGTGGTGCATTGCAGCTGGAAGGGCATCCGCTGCTTAAAACATATGCTGGATGAGTTGGCAGGTCATTCCGCTGTGGAGACCCCAGATTAATAAAGGGACTAACCCGAAAAGAAAATGAATGAATGGATATTGTCAGGTCCTGTGCTCCATGTGTGCTTGTTTTCATCATGTGACCCTTGTTCCAGTTCCCACCATTTGTTAATGTTCATTATTTCCACCTGTGTCTCACTCCTGTATGCAATCAGTTTAATCATCCACAGTGTATTTATAATATGCTTCATACGGTATTCTCAGTTGTGCTTTGTCGTCACCCCATGTTGCTCCTGCGTCTCCAGTGTTATTGATGTCCTTCCAAGTGAGTGTTTGTAAATAAATCTACGTGTTTGATAAATCAAGGCGTTACATATATACAGTTGAATTCAGAATTATTAGCCCCTTTGACTATTTAAATTATTTTTTAAAAATATTTCCCAAATGGTGTTTAACTGAGCAAGGAAATTTCCGTCTGATGTCTGATTACATTTTTTTTCTTATGGAGAAAGTCTTATTTGTTTTATTTCTTTATTTTATGTCTTTTTTTTATGATTTTAAGGTCAAAATTATTAGCCCCTTTAAGCTATAGTTTTTTCAATATTCTACAAAACAAACAATCGTTATATAATAACTTGCCTAATTATCCTAACCTGCCTAGTTAACCTAAGTAACCTAGTTAAGCCTTAAAATGTCACTTTAAGCTGTATAGAGGTGTCTTGAAAAATATCTAGTAAAATATTATTTACTGTCATGATGGCAAAGATAAAATAAATTAGTTATTAGAAATGAATTATTATAACTATTGTGTTTAGAAATGTGTTGAAAAAAATCTGCTCTACGCTACACAGAAATTAGGGGGAAAAATAAACTGGGGGCTAATAATTCTGACTTCAACTGTATATATATCTGAGTCCTGATCGGGAGGTAACATTCGATTCCGATCAAGTCTGAAATCGCGTGATCAGGCCAGATTTCCGATCAGATCTGGACATCTCTATTACTTATTGTTAGTTTTATTGTTCAAGTAAATTTAAATAGGCTACACAAAAAACATTTTAGCTTGTTGTGACTGAAAAGTTTTATTATTCCAAAAAATTTAGCTTTTTTAAATAATCTAAAATAAAACACCTCTTCGTGAGCGGTTATGGCATTTCTGTGTGGGTTTTGCATGTTCTCCCTGTGTTCGCGTTGGTTTCCTCTGAATGCACCGGGTTCCCCCACAGTCCAAAGACAAGTGCTATAAGTGAATTGAATAAACTAAATTGGCCGTAGTGTATGAGTGTGTGAATGAGTGTATATCGATGGTTCCCAGAACTTGGTTGCAGCTGGAAAGGCATCCACTGTGTAAAACATATGCTGAATAAGTTTCGCTGTGAATAAGGGGACTAAGCTAAAAGAAAATGAATATGTTCTAAATACACAATATTTTTCTTTTATATTCATCAGCATTATACCAAAACAAAAATTATTATTTTTAATTCAAACACATTACTGCAAAGTGTAAATACAGACAAACATAATTTCCAAGGTATCTCCTAATTTATTTTTCCATATATTGTTGTGGGTGACTCAAATATATTTGGAAAATATTTATTAAATGTAAAAATGAGTGGGGTGATTGTGTTGTGAAGTGCACAAAAAAAAAAAACACACATTTTTGGTCAATCCATTACAAAATGATACTAATAGGGTATAACTGGCTTGAATAAAACAAAATAAGAAATACACAGGAATACTCTACCCTTTGTGTTTTAAAATAAAAAACATTTAAAAAGTCTTTAACAAGCATAACAACAATATCTCTGCTACTGGGTCAACGTTTGCTCACAGCCTCACACTTTCAAAGCGCAGTACACACCTAGCACAGGTTTTAAACTCAAGCGCAGGCAGTCATGACTGAGCAAAAAAGAAACAAAATCTGGAGTTATTTCACTCCAGCTAATAATGATGAGGCGCTGTGAAACGTGTGAAAAACAGGCTCAAATTTAAGATTAAAGGGAAGAAAGGTTAGTGCAATGTGTGTTTTTTTTACATACAGTATGGTGTTTTATATAGCCAATTTGTGTTTAATCAATAATGCACTGTGTTTTTAATAAATTTTAAAAAGGAATTATGTCTGTTGCATTTTATTTAATAATAAAACTGAAGGGGATTTAAAAAAAAAACATTGGATAAAACATACATAATGACATATTTTATTAAAATATCTGTATCGGTATCGACGATACTTGTCTTGAAATACTTGGTATTGGATGGAAAATAATTGGTATCGTCCATTCCTAATTTGTGTATCTTATTTATTTGATTTTATTTGGAATATTCGAAATATTTGGATATATTGTTTACCCCCTAATGTAAAGTAAAATGTAATGCAAGAGAACATCAAAACAGACAAGTATTCTTTACCTTCCAATGCCAGCCCGAGCATCTCTGAAGCGAGCTCTAAAGTGTTGGATCTGTAAACTGACCATGGCCGCTCCCTACGTGACATTGTGGCAGAATGTGTGTGTGTGTTGAAGCTTGAGTAACAGGAGTGGTGGCAACCCACACACAGCCAGACACACTCCTGTGTGGCCGTCTCCTCCTCTGTTATCTGAAATACACAGAGAGACACACCACTTTATAACAGATCAGGCGTAAATACAGAAATTTAGCATTAATGTTTCACAAACAGCTATTACATGCATTGTTTATATGGGTGCTATTACAAACTATAAAAAAACCAGTGGATTACAGTGCTCTCTACTACAATAATTCAGAAAATCTTAAAGTACGGTCAAAAAATTAGTGTCAGTAGCACTTGCGACAGGCTTGTATGCACTTTTAAACTAGATGCTAGCTCTGAAAGAGAATACTGTAGTAGGGTTGCACATTATATCGATTCAGCATCGATATTACAATGTGATCATTTGCAATAGTTACACTGCAGGACATGCAATGTTGAGCCTGGATTGTAACTGATCTTTTTTGCATGTGTTTTTGAGGCCTGTGACAGTATAAATATTTTAAAAGCATTTAGGTGTAAAAAGTTGTACTGTATATAACTTCATGGTATGTATAACTTTACATACTGATTCATTTGAATGAATTATTTACACATGGAAAACTATGCAGTTATTCCATTACTGTATACCTAAATGATAGTCTTACAGACTCCTTTGTAGATTGTTTATTGTATTTTCTGCAGATACACTCCCCTATAGTCACTTCAGTCAATCGAAAATAATAAATTCTTTCCAAATAGAGATAGTCAATTCATCTAGTGAAATTGTTTTCATATCGCAATATGTAATCGCAGGATTACATTGCGATATATAACATTATGTTAGGTTTTTCCAATATTGTGCAACTCTAGACTGAAGGTTAACAGCTCTATAAGAACAGTTAAAAACAGAAGTGATCATTAGTTGTAAGAAAGTAAAGCATGGTGTCAGATTTATCTTTTAATCAAAGAGGCATTAGACAAATACATACTTTTTTTTTTCAGAAATAGCCTTATTTGGGAAATGTCTCCAGACTACTTCCTGCTTTGCTACTGTTCGGACGTCTTTGCCCACTGCTCCGCTCTTCGCACTCTTGCTTTTATATCTTATACCCTAATTTTAACTTGAGCCTATCAGCACAGTGCTCAAACAACACGGCTTGAAGATCAGCATCGATTCTACAAACTTTCTGGAATATAGCTTTACTAACAAGAAAGGAATTACCGTCTAAACAATCCTCCCGCTACCAGCTATCAGCTGCTTACATTCCGGAGACGGGAAGACACGGCTGTGAAAATGCCTCTGGATCGGATTAATTCAGATTCTCACTGCTGTACAAACTGCCACAAACTTCTACAAAAGATTGCAGTTCTTGAAACGAAGTTGCTTGCGATCCGACCAGAACTTCAGCTTCATTGTGGATTCTCTCAGCACACAGCCGGTGAGTCCCATAAATCTGTTCCTGCTACTGTTTTGAGCACAGAAAAACAGGAAAGAACTGTGGAAAATGAGCATTGGCATAAACAAGGTGCGAGACCAAAGGGTACTCGAGGGGTCAGATCATACGCTGCCGCATTAGCGTCTTCTACCCCAAATACAGCTCGGACTCAAATACAGCTTCAGAACAGATATGAAGTTTTGAATAATATGGGTGAAGAATCCCCAAATGTAGTCAGACAGAGATCGCATGATTCAGCAACTAATTCTGCATGGAACAGAGGCTCAAGGCCGACTAGACACCGGCATTCTGCTCTGATCACACCGGAGATAAGAACACTAGTCGTAGGAGATTCAATAATCAAGAATTTCAGGAGCAGATCTACAATGACATACTGCTTTCCTCATGCAACAGTTTCTGATGTAAACAAAGAGCTTGAGGAAATTCTGAAAAAGCACAAGTCGGCAAAACGGATTATCATCCATGTGGGGAAGAATGATATTCGGAAAGAACAGTCAGAACTGCTCAAGAAAGATTTCTGTGAGCTCTTGGAAACAGCTGAAAGATTGAAGGTTCAGGCGTTCATAAGTGGACCACTCCCTGCAAGAGGGACAAATATGTTTTCACGGCTTCTTGGTCTAAATGTATGGCTACAGAAAACATGTAACAAGAAAGGACTGAATTTCATCGACAACTTCAATCTCTTCTGGAACCAAAGACAGCTGTTTACATCAGACGGCCTTCATCCAAACAAGCTTGGTGCAAAGGTGCTAAAGGACAATATTTTTTTCTCCCTCAATCATCCATCAGCTGTGTATGCCACTGAACTGAATTGCAAACACACACCTAGCAAATGTCCGGATGACCACAGGACCTCAAATCAGCTCCTGAGTGGACTTGTGGCTGACGAATCACCCAAGGACAGTGATAATGCCACGCAGCCAAAACACCCAATGTTGATAGAGACACTATCAGTTGCCCTCTGCTCAACACAGGCAGACTGTGACGCATCAGAACAGCATCAAGTCTCGTCACTCAAAAATGATCCTCAGGAAAACATATTTCTGCAGACAGAATCTCCAGATGCACAGCCTCTGTCACCGGACACGTTCTCATTGTCACAATGTTCACCACTCTTGGGTTTTTCAAAAAAGATGGAGGAACTGGTGTGTGCTGGAACTAAACTTTCACACTCCATTGCCGCAAGCCCCCAGTTACCAACCAAAAAGCGGCCTGCTCCACAACCACCTATGAGCCCACCTGGAAGAGCCCTCCGATCACACCGCCAGGGCCCAAACAACAACGCCCCATCTTCAGCTGGTGAACACAAGAGCTCTCTGTGATGTGTGTCGGGGACCTGCTTAGATAACAGTGTCTTTATCAAATGTTTTCAGAACAAGCAGGAACCCAGTGTGTCTGTAGCTTTCTCTAAGCAGATTTGTGTTGTGTTAAGTGACAGAAAACCAAAGACTTCATCAGGCCGTTTAGCAAATCATTCAAATCTGGTGTCTATTAAATGTAGATCTGAGACTACTATAGAAAAAACAGCTAAAACTGTTAAGTTAGCGCTTTTAAACATCAGATCACTCAATAATAAGTCTCTTTTAGTCAATGATTTTATCAACACAAATTGCCTTGATTTTATGCTTTTAACTGAAACTTGGCTAGATGACAGTTGTAGCGCAGCAGTTCTGAATGAAGCAGCTCCTTTAAACTTTGACTTTTTGAGTGTTTGCAGAGCTAATAGGAGAGGTGGAGGCATCGCTGCCCTGTTTAAAGATGTGTATGAATGTAAACAAGTGTCATTTGGTGATTATCTGTCTTTTGAATATCTGAGTATAGCACTAAAAGGTGCTCCACGCATCTTACTGATCATTATCTACAGACCTCCAAAATATTCTCCAGCTTTTATTGAGGATTTTACAGAGCTGTTATCAATAGTAACCTCTGAATTTGATTATTTTAGTATTGCTGGGGATTTTAATATTCACATTGATAATCCAGAAATCAATGCTGTAAAAGAACTGATGACTGTTTTTAACACTTTTGATCTGACTCAGCATGTTCAAGGACCCACACACAATTGTGGACACACTCTTGATCTACTTATAACTAAGGGTTTACACATTTCATCAACTGTTGTTAAGGATGTGGCACTATCTGATCATTTCTGTATCTTTTTTGATATATTGATCACTCCAGCTATTAAAGACAGATCTGTCTCTGTCAGAAAGAGATGCATAAATGAGAACACTAGTGAGCAGTTTATGAAGGCCATATCGCTAGCACCAAGTATATCTGCAGATTCTGTTGATTCTCTCCTTGATTTGTTCAATTCTAAAATTGAGAATGTCATAAATGACATCGCTCCTGTTAAAGTCAAGAAGATGACTGGCAGGCAAAAGGGATCTTGGACAAGGTCACCGAGAGTACAAATGATGAAAAGACAGTGCAGAAAAGCTGAGCGTATGTGGAGAAAGACGAAACTAGTAGTCCATTATAATATCTATAAAGACAGTCTTCATGCCTTTAATATGGAACTAAACACTGCTAGACAGACTTTCTTTTCAAGCCTTATAAACAGCAACTTAAATAATGCTCGTACACTCTTTGCAACAATAGAGAGACTCACAAACCCCCCCAGTCAGATTCCAAGTGAGCTCCTCTCTGAAAGCAAATGTAATGAGTTTGCTCATTTCTTCACTGATAAGATCAATAATATCAGAAAGGCAATCAGCTCATCCAATCAGCCAAGTTGTGTCGATATCAAACAAGCTCAACCACAACTTAAGAAATCAGACATTATGTCTGATTTCATGGCAATTAACAGCAAAATCTTAGAAGAGACTGTGCAAGTTATGAAAACATCAACCTGCAGTCTTGACACGCTCCCCACATCATTCTTCAAAACGGTGTTTACCTGTTTAGAAATGGATCTTCTAAAAGTGGTAAATGCTTCACTTCTATCAGGGATTTTTCCAACCTCACTTAAAACTGCAGTTGTTAAACCCCTCTTGAAGAAGAGCAACCTGGATAACACCCTATTGAGCAATTACAGGCCAATCTCAAATCTCCCTTTCATTGGCAAAATCATTGAAAAAGTTGTTTTTAACCAGGTCAACAAGTTCTTAAACTTCAGGGGGTGTTTAGACAATTTTCAATCGGGGTTCAGATCACATCACAGTACAGAGAGCGCTCTTATAAAGATAATCAATGATATACGCCTAAATACAGATTCAGGTAAAATAACAGTGCTGGTATTGTTGGATCTCAGTGCTGCATTTGACACTGTCGATCACAGCATACTTCTGGATAGGCTGGAAAACTGGGTTGGGCTATCTGGCACGGTCCTAAAATGGTTTAGATCTTACCTAGAAGGTAGAGGTTACCATGTCAGTATAGGTGACCATAGGTCGAGGTGGACACCCATGACGTGTGGAGTCCCACAAGGCTCGATTCTGGCACCTCTCCTGTTCAACCTTTACATGCTCCCTCTGAGCCAAATAATGAGAAAGAACCAAATCTCCTACCACAGCTATGCTGATGACACTCAGATCTACCTAGCCTTACAGCCTAATGACTACAGCGCCATTGACACCCTCTGCCAATGCATCGATGAAGTGAGCAATTGGATGTGCCAAAACTTTCTTCAGTTAAACAAAGAGAAAACTG